TGGCTGACACCTACTCAGTCCTGAGGTCCTACTTTACTTGGTAGCTGCTCCTGGAAGCCTTCCTGCACCATGTAGTCCAGTTGATGCTCCCACCAGAGACTCCTGTGTTCCTCCCACTTCTTCCTCTCAGCACTGATCACTCTGTGTGGTAAGTGTCTTTATCATCTTCTTTCCCATTAGAGCTCTTCTGGAGTGAGGGACACCTCTGCCTTGTTCATTGTGGCCCCTCAAGAATGCTCATTAAGTATCAATGAATGGACTAAGGAGCTTTAGGAATCACTAATGTAATATTTCTTTAAAATGGGGGTTGGCAATTCACAAGTGATACTGTTTCAGGAGAGGGGCAAAGCAGAAAGGGCCGAGGGGATGGGGAAGTCCTCCTGAAAGGAACTGGCCTGTCCAAAGTTAATGGTCAGTAATGCATTACCACTTTTTTCTTTTTTTTTTTTTTTGAGATGGAGTTTCACTCTCACTTAGGCTGGAGTGCAATGATGCAATGTCAGCTCACTGCAACATCTGCCCCCTGGGTTCAAGTGATCCTGCCTCAGCCTCCCGAGTAGCTGGGATAATAGGTGCCCACCACCATGCCCAGGTAATTTTTTGTATTTTTAACAGAGACAGGGTTTCTCTATGTTGACGAGGCTGGTCTCAAACTCTTGACCTCATGATCCGCCCGCCTTGGCCTCTCAAAGTGTTGGGATTACAGGCGTGAGCCACTGCGCCCGGCGCATTATCACTGTCTTTACAGTGCTGATCATCTGGACCCACACCAAAGACCTGATGCCAATGTAGAGACAATACTGCCCTGTAAAGACAATGGTAATTAGCAAAGCCAGGCAGAACAGCTTCCTCCAGAGTTTGGACAGAAGAATCCAAAGAGAACTAGCCAGTTAGGAGTTTCCCTGAACCTTCAGATCCACCCCCTTTGACCACTGTCGTGAGCAAATCTGTTCCTTAGGACCAAACGATGTCACCGGCAGGGGTGAAGGGCAGGACTAGAGCCACATGACCTCTCTACTAAGTGCAGGGAAGGTCGCAAGGCTGGACGGTAATGTGCCTGGCCTATAGGAGAGCCGGGCCGCCCTGACTGCCAAGCGAATGGGACTGCACTTGAGAAGCGCTGTTGAGTGCAATGCGTGGTCTGCAATCTGAGAATTCTCCCCAGAAAAACGGATCCCTGCCGCCTCGTGCCTTCCTGAAAGAGACTGCTACCCCCTCACTTACAGAAAGTCTCCTGGCCCACGCGTACGTTAATCATGATCCACTCCATCGTCCCTCCCAGGACAAAAAAGAAGGGCAGGAACCGGTAGATGCCGAATCGCCGCTTCCCGGGCACCCGCTGCAGAATCCGTCTCACCTGGGCCTTGGGGAACATGCTCGAACGAGGTCGTGGAGAGGGGTATGGCGGAAACAAGCACTGGATTGCCCAGAGGCAGCCGAGGCCGCTCCGCGCGTTCTCGCCGTGTACGGCGGCCTGGGCGACAAGCGAGCGCCGCCCTCCCCCACTGTCTGGTACGCGCGCGAGTGCCGGAGCTGGGCGGCGACCTTCGAGAGCTAGGCGGAGCCGCCAATCAGAGTACTGCAGGGCGCGCGTGCTCCGTGAGGCCGAGCAGAGCCTGAAGCAGCTGGCGCAGGCGCCTGAGCTCTGGAGGTGGGGCGGCCCAAAAGGGAGGGGCAGCCCACGTGGCGTCGGCCCGGCCCCACCTCCTAGCCATCCCAGTGCGGGAGAGAGTTTTAAGAGACTACCCCCTACTCTGCCACCGCCATTTTTATTCCTAACATCCTGATAGAAGTGATGATCCTCTCTCATGGTCTAAGTATGTACAGCACCATATTCCAAAATGCTGTTATTCACTGACTTGCGTTTATTTCGGAGACGTGATTGGTGCCTAGGCTTCTAAAGTAACAGAATTTGATACAGAGTGTTGAACGCTGAACTTTATCAATTATCACAGCAAAAACCTAAGTAAGCGCCGCTTGAGATCCCCAAAATTAACAAAAGCTACCTTGTATGGGGCACGTACCGTTCCACAGGCACCTGTAGGTGCTTTAGTCACAATAATTGCAGAAGAGTACGATAATTAAAGAGGCACAAGCTCTGTTGTCAAATCACATCCCTGCTCTACAAGTGCTCCCTTAACCCATGTGTGCCTCAATTCTCTAAGCCGTAAAATGGAGGCCTTCCTTGCTCTGATGCTGTGAGGATTTAGTGTGGTAATATAAATGATGCACAGTCCTGGAGCATAGTAACTGATTAACATTAGTTATAATATTCATTATGATGATGGTAATGATTGGCAGCGCCCTTGCTCTCCACATGTATTCCCGAACATGGTTTTTGTTTGTTTTTTGAGACAGGATCTCACTCTCTTATCCAGGCTAGAGTGCAGTGGTGCGATCTCGGCTCACTGCAACCTCCTCCTCCCAGCCTCAAGACATCCTCCCACCTCAGCCTCCCTAGTAGCTGGGACTACAGGCGCACACCACTACATCCACCTAATTTTTCAACGTTTTGTAAAGACGGGGGATTGCCCAGGCTGGTCTCAAACTCCTGAGCTTAAGAGATCCTCCTGCCTTGACCTCCCAAAGTGCTGTGATTACAGGCGTGAGCCACCGCGTTCAGTCTGAACGTGTATTCTTTACATGTATTCTCTTAACTGAAAATTTGAGAGACTATGCCAGGTAGAAGCAGGGCTCTGGCTTAAGAAACTTCACTTGTCATTGCGTCCTCTCGTGCTGCTGTGCTTGGTGAAGATAACTGAAAGGGGCAGTCATCCCATTACCTAGAGATAAGATAACAACTGCAGGAACAGCTTTGAGAAGAGAGACAACTATTAGACAATCTAAGGAAGGTAAATGAAAACTTAGAACCAATGAGACGATTTGGCGATATGGACACAAAATATACAAAAGCAGATTGGAGGAGAGAGCAAGCAGGGCCCCAGAAAGGGTCATAGGGCCCGCAGTGAGCAGCCTGAGCTGCCGCCCATACAACCGGCTTTGGAGAGCCAGCCAGGAAGCCTCTTTCTCCTCCAGGTCGACTCCATCCAAGCAGGCACACACACACAGGCTTGATGCTCGCTCCCATTTCTCCAGGTGGTTTTGACGGGGGAATGCAGGCATCCAGTCTCCTGGAGGAGGTTCACGTGGGGCCAGATTCCCAGCACACCCACTAGCTCACTGGGGCCCTGGGGGCACCACCACCCTCGAGTGCATCCTATGGCCTCATTCTTTACCAGTTCCCGGGCCATGGACTGCCACACTGTAGGTCTTCAGTCAAGGTTCAGTGTAGTTTCGAATATACACACACCCTGAAAGCCAGCGAGGCCACCTCAGGAAACAACGGGCGCCCAGCTGGCTGGCTCCCTTCCGACCTGGGCCACGGGTGCTGGATCCGCCTCCTCTGGACCCGGCACAACCTGGTATGCGTGCGGGCTCAGAATACGAATCTGAGCAAAAGAAATGCGAGTGGAGAGGGGTTCTGAGTAGGAAAGAGGAATTTCATTGGAAAGCCTGGCAACATGACTAGAAAATACCACAGCATCTCACGAGGGTCCTGCACTGGGAAACGGGGAGTTGGCAGGTTGGTGCAGCCAGTTACCGCGGTCAGAACCAAGTGGGCATAGTGACCGCGGCCCATTGCCCTGCAGCGCACGGCCCAGTCACCTGGTTGAGTTAGAAGGGGTCACCCTAGCGGGAGAAGAGTCTGCCTTAATGGACATCGGCTGCCCTGCGGGCCCCTCGGTCTCCCCCAGCGTGGGCCTGGCACCGGGGAGCGCGGGAAGAGCTCTTTATTTGTTAGATTAGTGAGTGATCTGGCCCGGGCTCTGGTCAGTGGGCAGTCAGTCCAAGCCCGGACTCGGGGGACCAGGACCCCGGGAAAGGAGGGCACAAGGACTAGGGGGAGGGGCGGAGGATCTGGGGTCAGAAGCATCCAGAGGCGCAGGGAAGCGGGCTGACCTGGGAGCGGAGAGGAAGGCAGAGGACCAGGGGGTCGGGGGAGATCTGCCGCTCTCCGACTGTCTCCTCTCGGCGCCTCGGCCGTCCGGAGCCTCTCAGGGACGGCCGCTCTTAGGCCCTCTGACTTCCAGGGATGGGGTCGGGGAAAGGTGCCGCCATCGCCGGCGTGACGGCCGAAGGGGGGCGCAAAGTCCTCCAGGGCTGCGTGGGAGACTGGGGGAGGGGGCTGGGGAGCCCGTCCCGCCCCGCCCCCCGGCCCGAGGGGCGCGCCCATTGGCAGGCCGGGCTCCGCGCGCCGCACCCATTGGCCGGCCGCCGTGAGGAGCACGAGGCCACCGTGGCGGGCGCGCAGTCGGAGGGCGGCGGGCGGCGGGCGGCTGGAGGGCTGAGGGCAGCGCGGGCTGCGGGCGGCGTGCGGTGGGCATGGCGGGTGCGGGGCTGCGGGCGGCCGCTCGACGCTGGCTACTGTGCGGAGGCCACGGCGGGCCGCGAGCCGCCTCGTCCTCGCCTTCCTGCCCTGGCTGCGGCCCCCCAGGTCCCAGCGCCCCCTGCCCGAGCGGCCCTGTACTCGCCGGCGGCGCCGACCTCAACGCGCACCTATGGGCTCGTTACCAGGACATGCGGAGACTCGTGCACGGTGGGTGAGCCGGGGCGGGACGTGCGCCGGGGTGTCTTCGAGTGGACGGATGGACGGAGCCCCAGGGCCGGGCGGCTTTTCGCGAGTGGCTTCTGCCGGTCATCCCGGGGGCCTCTGGGGCGCCTCGACGCCCGGGGGCGGGCGGGAGGTTGGGGCTCCTAGAGCGGCTGTCGAAGTGCTGGGCCCCCGCTGTCTTCCTTCGGGGTCCCGCCCGCCGTTAGGCTGCGGCGGAAACTCCCCCAACCTCTTGTTCTCCTCGGGCTCTTAGTTGGGGCAGGAGAGTGCTGTGGACAAAGCCAGCGAGCGGCGCTGGGCGGAACTGGCTCCTAGTGACTGCCGGACCAAAGGGGACAACCGGCTGGACTTCCCAGACATACTTCAATGTCGCCCAAGAGGTCCGGATCCCTCTCAGCCTGGGAAGCGGAGGCTGGGAGGAACCAAGTCACCCCCGTCCGCTGGAGCTCAGACCAGGGCCGCACGGGGCACTTAACCTCTCTCCCTCTGAGAAACGGCTTGGGGAGGCCAAGTCCCCTTTTCGGAGAGGGCGGGCCCGGGACGCACTAGTGAGGCCCCAGAGCTGAGAGTGCTGGACATTGGCCCGCTTGTCTCCGTGGGTCTAGTGGGGCCCTGCTTCTGGAGCAGGCCGATGTGGGTCGTGACCCTATCACTGACCAGCTGGGTGGCCCCCTGCAAGCCTCACCCTCTCTCAAAAATGAAACGCAGTCTTATTTCAAACATGAAACGGGGGCCTCTCTGTCCCAGGGTTGGGTGACGACTGGAACCAGGCCAAGTGGGGGCAGGGGAGCTTCCGGAGGAACCCCCAGGGGTGACATGGCTTTCATTGCCTGAAAAGACAAAGTGGCCCTGTCTGGAAGATTCCAACTGGCTAGACGGGGGCTTTCACTCCGGCTTTGTAGGGTGGCGGAGACTCACTTCTTGACAAGTGAAGGCAGGATGGTAAAGGCCACTGAGGAATGGTCATTTGGAAGCCTAGGACATCAGTCCACCCTCGAAGTTCTGGGTTGAGTTTGTGTCTGTGGACGGCGGCCCAGCGGTATTTAAGAAGTCTTTGCTCTGGGCCTGGAGGACACCCTCTGGGTGGCCTGAGAAGCCTGCCTTGGAGGTTTCAGGGAAAAGCAAGGGGATCTACTGGACACTGGCCTCCTGGGCCTGCCTGCACCTTTGGAGCTTCACAGCCCTCTAAGCTCCTCATCATGCAAGGAGCAAAGTCATTTCCGCTGAGATCCCATGGTGGCCACCAGCCAGAGCCAGCTTCACACTTCTGGGCGCCAAGGTTCGCTTTGGGCTAATGCCCATGGGCTGAGAGGAGAGCAGCAGGTCCCCCAACCCCCACCCACCTGGTCTCAGTGTGCCGACTTTGGGCAGTTAGGCTGAGGAGCAGAGCGATTAACGCAGGTGGGGTAACTTGAATGGTGATCAGCCCCGGTGCCTGTTACTGGGTGGTTTGGAGCAAGTGACTTCATCTCCCTGAGCCCCCGTTTCTTCCTCTGGATGATGGGGGGAATGAGTGGGACTGCTTCACAGGATTGGAGTGAGGATTGAACAAGACAACCCTCTGAGGCATCCACAAGTGTCGTGGTTGCTAGAGAGCTGTTGGCCCTGGAACCTGGAGCCACGGGCAGGTTTGGGAGCTGGGGCTGAGGAGAAAGGAGGGCAAGGGGCTGGACATGCTGGGTGGGGCACACCCTCAGCTGGCCCCCACACCACCCCCACTTGTGGAGGGGAGCGGGTCACTTGCCCTGGAGCTAAGGTTTTCCTAGTCCAGAAATCAGGCCAGGTGGCCAGGCCCTGTGGCTGTTTACCCATCCTGCTTTGTTCTTGGGAGGACTGTCTGCCCCTTGGCCCCTGGGAATATCCTTAAGGGCAGAGGTAAAGGCCTGGACCTAGCCAGGACTCTGTGTCAGCAAGGGGCTGTACTGGGAAGATCACCAAGAGTCACAACCACAGTTGGTACCCACGAAATGAGGGCCATGGGGAGGGCAAGGCCTAGGGTCCTTGTGACACCAGGACCCTGGGCCTTGAAGGGCAGCTCAGAAGCAAAGTTCCCTAGAGAGCTGCAGCTGACAGTCTTACTTGCATCCACGTGAAGACTCCTGTCTTCACCCGTGGATCTGTGGAGCAGCAGCTCTGTGCTGGCCTGGGAAACCAGCCACACCTGATCCCCTGAACTTGGCTCCAAAGGAAAGGGGTGGGGATGGAGCCCTGTGTTCCCAGGGTGCATGAAGCACATCAGTGAGGTATCTGACTTGAGTACAGCTGCTGCCAGGCACACTGTGGGACTCCTCTGGCCTGTCAGCTTCTGCTTTGTGATTGGGACTAGGGTTGTGGCTGAGACAGGGATCCCCTGGAGGCTTAGAGCTGGGGCCCCTGCAAGGCAGTGCCCTGTGTACCCAGTCCTGCCTGCTCCCTTCTCCCTGAAGTCCCTGCTCCTGGAGGGACACTGGGAAATTGGGGACAAGATGCTCAAGAGCCCAGGGAGCATATCACCCATTTAGTCCTGTATATGTGCAGGTGCAGAGTGGGATTGCTGCACAGAGCAGCACCTTCCTTATGATCCTCTTAGTAATTCTGTATGTTGGTACAATTTTTTTTTTTTTAATGTTTGCCGAGACAGGGTATCACTATATAGCCTAGGCTGGTCTTGAACTACTGGGCTTCAAGCAGTCCTCTCACCTCAACCTCCTGACTATAGGCGTGCGCCACCATGCCCCACTTCATACAATTTTTTCCTACCCTTTTAGAAAAAAGGAAACTGAATGCCAAGAGGTGAGGTGTTGTTTCTAAAGTCATAGCCGTGAGAGGGAGGGCCTGGTCTTCCTGGCTGACTTCATTGCACACGGCCTTCCCAGCGCATCTTCTTTCCCTTCCACTTTCCCCATTGTGCAGATAGGGAAACCAGGCAGGTAACATGGGGCCCCTCAGCCTCATCTGCTTCTTTGGGACCCAGAGCCCATGCTGCACACTGACCTGCTCAGCTCCCTGCTGTGGGCCTCAAAGCCACTGCAGCCTCCTGGGAGCAGCAAGGGACTTGGGGTGGTCACGACCACATCCCCAGAAGCAGCAGCCTGGATAATGGCCCAGAACCTGACATCATGTCCTGCATGTTGTAATTACCAATGTTCCCTGACTAGAGCCAGCAAATGTCATTATATGGGCTGTTGGGCAGCTGAAATCTGATTAGAGGGGCCTCACTCTCCCCGGGCTGTGGGAGTTGCCCAGAACTGGCAGCCTGACAGCAGAGGGGCTCCCCATCCTACCAATATTCCTGAGCTCCAGTCTCAGCTCTGGGCAGGGTAGAAAGTCAACATCCATGGCCTCAGCCCCCTAATCTGGCCATACAGAGCCAGCCATTCTGGGTTAGAGTCCTCCGTGCCTACAGGCTATCCTCACACATAAAAACTCCAGGGAGGCTGAGAGATGAGGCCAGAGGGCAGGGCAGCGCAGAGGAGCTGAGGGCAGCTGAGAGGAGCAGAAGAGCCATTGGGTTGTAGGGGGCCAAACAGTGGTGCTCCTGTGTGGGTGTTGAGCAGGTGGGAGGATTTGCACTATAGAGCATCCCAAAAGCAGCTGTTCTGGAGCTAGGCAGTGAGAAGTTGAGTGACTGCTACCAGGGTTCTAGCACGGCCCTGTGTCTTATGCGGCTAGGTGGTGAGAGCCTGGAGTAGTCATGGGCTCAGTGCACCTGGTGGGCTGCAGGGGATAGTGTAATGCAGGCAGGTGTAACCATGGGGAGGAGTGCCAGCCATGGGCCCTGCCTACTGCCAACTCCACCTTACCCTAACCTTGTGACCCTAGGCCTGTTTGACCATCTGCAGCACTGGAATAAGAGCTGCCATTGCGGGGTGTTTCTGAGGCTCAAAGGGCTGGGCCCCCACAGCACCCCAGGAGCCGTAGCTGCTGTGGTGCTCATTATCCCCATTGCTGCCTCCCTGCATCTCCTTCCACTAGACCTCCTGCCCCCTGAGGTCTGCAGTCTCCTAAACCCAGCAGCCATTTATGCCAACAACGAGATCAGCCTACGTGATGTTGAGGTCTATGGCTTTGACTATGACTACACCCTGGCCCAGTATGCAGACGCATTGCACCCCGAGATCTTCAGCGCCGCCCGCGACATCCTGATTGAGCACTACAAGGTGAGAGGGGTCCTTGCCACCAACACACCCAGGGCCTGGAGGCTGGCAGGACCCACCTTGGCCTAAGCTCAGGGCTGAGTCATGGGGCTCCCCTGGCCCTCTGGCTGGGCAGCTGCCCTGGACAAGTGGCCGGATGACCCCCTGGGGTGACCACCCACCCAGCAGGTCTGGCAGTGCTATTGGCTTAGGCCTGGCCCTTTTCCCCCGACAGTACCCAGAGGGGATTCGGAAATATGACTACAACCCCAGCTTTGCCATCCGTGGCCTCCACTATGACATTCCAAAGGTGAGTGGCAGGACCTGTATAGGGCTCCCTCCTTGGCCTCCTCTTGGTATGGTCATTACCCCTCAGCACCATCCAACTGGGGTTCTGACATTGGCTGAAAGGGGCTGGCTAAAACTGAATCCCTGGCGCCCCCAGAGCCTCCTGATGAAGATTGACGCCTATCACTACGTGCAGCTGGGGACAGCCTACAGGTCAGTTGGCTCTGCCCTGCCCCCAGCCCTGCCCCACCCTAACGCTGCTGCCTAGGCTCAGGACTGCCTTGGACTGATGGTGTCTGTGGGTCTGCTCAGGGGCCTCCAGCCTGTGCCAGATGAGGAGGTGATCGAGCTATATGGGGGCACCCAGCACATACCACTGTACCAGACGAGCGGCTTCTATGGCAAGGTACTCCATACCCCAGCAGCAGCCAGCCCGCCCCATGGGCCATACCCATGCCCCAGGGCAGATTTGGGGCCTTCATCTCCAGCACTGAAGGGGCTGAGACCATGTTCCTCCCACCCCCCCCACCCCAGGGTCCCTCCATTAAGCAGTTCATGGACATCTTCTCGCTGCCAGAGATGGCTCTGCTGTCCTGTGTGGTGGACTACTTCCTGGGCCACAGCCTGGAGTTTGACCAAGCGCACCTATACAAGGATGTGACGGTGAGGATGCCAGGCCTGCCCTCAGATGGCAGGGACGGCTCAGTCCAGCCACAGCGGGACAGGTCTGCCTGGGCCCTGCTGCATCTTCACTATTCTCCACTGCCCCCAGGACGCCATCCGAGACGTGCATGTGAAGGGCCTCATGTACCAGTGGATTGAGCAAGACATGGGTAAGGGTGGGCAGAAGCCCCGCCGTGGCCAGCCTGAGCAGGTGGCAGGGCTGGCCCTCACAGTCCCATCTGCCCCATTAGAAAAGTACATCCTGAGAGGGGATGAGACGTTTGCTGTCCTGAGCCGCCTGGTAGCCCATGGGAAACAGCTGTTCCTCATCACCAACAGTCCTTTCAGCTTTGTGTGAGTCCAGCCCCCTGTGGACAGAGGGACAGCAGGGCCAGGGCCCTGGGTGGGAAGGGTAGGCACAGAGCCGCCCTCAGACCACTTGCTACCTGAACCTCCTCCGCACAGAGACAAGGGGATGCGGCACATGGTGGGTCCCGATTGGCGCCAGCTCTTTGATGTGGTCATCGTCCAGGCGGACAAGCCCAGCTTCTTCACTGACCGGCGCAAGTATGGGCCTGGGGGGTGTTGCAGGGCCAGGCAGGGGAATAAAGCAGGAGGCCAACATGGCCCTTCCCCACTGCCCAGTATGCTTGGGGTGAGGACACCCCGTTGCTGGCATCGGTCCACTTGAGTAGGTGGGCCTTTACAGAGGAGGGATGAGGGTTGCCCAGCCTGTGGCCCTGCCACAGACTGGAAGTCAGGCCCTTAACCTGCACCCCAGGCCTTTCAGAAAACTCGACGAGAAGGGCTCACTTCAGTGGGACCGGATCACCCGCCTGGAAAAGGGCAAGATCTATCGGCAGGTGAGGGCCGTCTGGGGAGAACAGCATGTGATGGGGCACAGGGCTTAACCAGGCCCCCAGGTTGTGCAGAGGCAGCCTCTGAGGAAGCAGCACAGCTCCTCAGCCCTAAGCAGCCTCATACCATGGAGCTGGAGCCAGGAACTTCCAGGGAATAGCTGGCAGGGAGCAGGTCTGGGTGGCAGTGAGAGCTTGACCTCTGGGTCAAGCTGCCTGGTTCTGAATTCCAACTCCACTATTCAGCACAGGGAGCCTGGGCTGGTTGCCTGACCTCTGTGCCTTGCTTCCCTTGTCTGCAAAAGAGGTGTAATACTCTACTGAAGCTGTAGTATAGAGCCCTCAGGATGGCCAGTGGGCCAGGCACAGAGGCTAAAGCCTTTAATCCCAGCAGTTTGGGAGGCTGAAGTGGCAGGTGAGTTTCTTGAGCTCAGGAGTTTGAGACTAGCCTGGCTAACATGGCGAAACTCCATCTCTACTAAAAATATAAAAAGTTAGCGGGGGCATGGTAGCATGCACCTGTGGCCCCAGCTATTTCAGAGGCTGAGGTGGGAGGTACACTTGAGCCCAGGAGTTCAAGGCTGCAGTGAGCTTTGAGCACACTGCTGCACCCTAGCTTGGGCAACAATGCAAGACCTTGTCTTCAAAGGACAAGAATGGTCAGAGATCGTGAAATGCCTGATGAGTGGTGTCATTTGTTGGGGCTGAGCACTCTGCTGCAGCCAGAACAAGTCTGGTTGGGAGCAGCTCATTGGGTGCTCTAGGGAAACTACTCCTCCCTACCTGGCTAGGAAAATGAGAAGGATTGGTGCTGGGGGGATTGGATTGAACGTCGATGAGCAGGTAGTGATTAAGGTTTATCCCTGGCTGAAATGCAGAAATCCTGGCTGAGCTGGGCTTCTTCAGGCTAGGGGTTCTAAAGGCCTTGGGGGTGAGGGAGGGAGAAGCCAGCAGCTAGCCAGGGGAGCAGTGTGGGGGTGGCCAATACCCAGGCCTGGCTTGCAGGAAATGCTCCACCTCCCACCCTGCTGTACCCAAACTCTCCACAGCCCTCAGGCTCAGGTGTGTCCCCTTAGCTCTGAGGGCACTGCTCTCCCCGGCCTTGGCATCTGGCCCCAGCTGAAGAGAGTGATGCATCTTTGTGGGAATTGCATGACTTTCTTCCCTGGCAGCTTTCAGGCAGTTCTTTATGCCCAATATTCTGAAGCTGCCTTACTGTGTGTGTTGGATTTTGCCTGTCACTAAGAGTCTCTCAGACTCCTGCCGCTTGAGATTCTTCCTCTTGGTTCAGGGACTGCCTGGGCCTCTGCCACTCCACTTGAACTTATTTTAGCAACTCACTTCTCGCACAGCACCTGTTTCCCCCAGCACGTCCACTTCTAAGGCTTTGGATGCACAGACTGCTCTGAACTGTGCTTCCTGGGTATAAATTCCTCTCGCTTTTGGGGTGTGGACTCCTGCCCTGGTGGCTGCAGCCTGAGCACTGGTCTGGTGATTCCTGCTCTGGGCCCCTCAGTTTCTGCTGCCCTGTGAGCGTCCCCAGTTACGTGTGGGCCTGGCTGAGTGTCTCCAAATTTCTACGGCTCCAAGACACTGGTGGCCCTGGTGAGGTCTGCCATTATTCTGCTGGGTCCCTCTGTGCTGAGGCAGGGGAAGCCAGCAAGGAGTTCAGGGCTGTGAGGCCTTCCCTACAGTTATTTTCTTATAAGTAGGGTCTTAATCCCTAGCCTGGCATATGTATGAGACCACAGGGAGGACCCCTCAAGGCATGGGTACCACATCAGGCCTACAGGGCACCTTCCTGTGGCAGGCAGATTCCCCTTCCCAAGTAGGAGGGGAAAGGGCCCAGGGAGGGAGTAGCAAGGCCACGGGAAAGGGCAGCCCACATCCGGCTGGATCTGGGATTCCAGAGGGAGGACTGGTGGAGGACAAGGCGCTTGGCTCAGCAGCGTTCCCCTCCTCTCCTCAGGGAAACCTGTTTGACTTCCTACGCTTGACGGAATGGCGTGGCCCCCGCGTGCTCTACTTCGGGGACCACCTCTATAGTGACCTGGCGGTGAGGGAAGCAGGGCTGGGCTGCAGGCGGGGAGGACCAGGGACACCCCCCACCAACTGGTGCTCAGCCCAGTTCCGCTGTCCCACCCACCAGGATCTCATGCTGCGGCATGGCTGGCGCACCGGTGCCATCATCCCCGAGCTGGAGCGCGAGATCCGCATCATCAACACAGAGCAGTACATGCACTCGCTGACGTGGCAGCAGGCGCTCACAGGGCTGCTGGAGCGCATGCAGGTGCAGGCCGGGGTGGCTGTGGGAGGGCCAGGACTATAGCCTCCTGGGTACACACGCCCAAAGCACACCCGGTGTCCCCAGACCTATCAGGACGCGGAATCAAGGCAGGTGCTGGCTGCCTGGATGAAAGAGCGTCAGGAGCTGAGGTGAGTATGTGGGGCCAGGGTAGGCATCCCAGCCAAGCCACCACCCCGGCCTACCCCTCGAGTGCACCCTGTCTCCCTCACCAGGTGCATCACCAAGGCCCTGTTCAACGCACAGTTCGGCAGCATCTTCCGCACCTTCCACAACCCCACCTACTTCTCGAGGCGCCTTGTGCGCTTCTCTGACCTCTACATGGCCTCCCTCAGCTGCCTGCTCAACTACCGTGTGGACTTCACCTTCTACCCACGCCGCACACCCCTGCAGCATGAGGCCCCACTCTGGATGGACCAGCTCTGCACCGGCTGCATGAAGACTCCCTTCCTCAGCGACATGGCTCACATCCGCTGAGGGCACCTTTATTGTCCCGGACAGGCTCCCTGCCCCTCCTGCCCCATCTACCCAAGGCATCCACCCAGACAAGCAATAAAAATGGTCTCCCTGCGTGTGCCTCTGCTTTCGGCCCCATCCTCGTCACTTGACTGTGAGGATCCTCTGCGTGTCAGGGAAATCTTCCTCTAAGAGTGAGTCCTAGGAGAGCAGGGCTGTTGGTGGTGGGTATGACCAGGGCCTGGACCCATCCCGCATCCACCACACTTCCATGCTCACATCAAAGGGTTCACAAAAGGCGTCATGGCTGCCAAAGATAGGGTTGGGGACAGAGACCAGGGTGGGGTTCGTCTCTTCTTGCCATGGTGAGAAGTTGTCGTCAGCATCATCTTCCACCTGGGAGCAGCAGAGGGGTGAGTGGTGAGGCTCCTTGAGTGAGATCCAAGTACCTGCCATTGCAAGCCCGAACCCAGCCCTACCTGGAAGGCAGAGAAGCCAAAGCCAGTGGGCTTGCCTCGGGTACGGAGGTAGAGGGCTCCGGCCACCAGGCAGAACAGGGCTCCAGCAGCAAGCACAGCCCCCACACCCGCTGCCACAGGTGGGGCTTCAGGTGCCAGCACCGCCCACTACAAACGGAATGTGTTGAGGACCTGGTGGGAGCTGTCCCACCCCGTTCCCCAGATTCACAGGTTGTGGGGGGTGGGCAGAAAAGGCTCTGCCTCCCCCTTCCCCAACTCACAGGCTGTGGAGGTGCCAGGAGAGGGCTGGCCAGAGCATGGATGATGCCATTGAAGGCCATGATGTCCCATATGATGACATGACTAACCACAACTGTCCCTGGGGCCTGCAGGGAGACCAGAGTCAGGCCCCATGGTGAGGGCCAGCGCCCGCAGGGTGGGACGGTGGCGACACTTACCACAGGGGCCCAGGAACTATTGTCAGGGCCCACGTCACTGATGATGAGGCTGAGGCCTGAGTGGGCCAGAAGCAACTTCCCCTGGCTGGCGTTGGCACTTAGGAAGGTAGTGTTGGAGGCATGCAGCTCCAGGTCTGGGCCACTCAGCGTCTGTGGGCAGAGCAAGGCCTGTTGGCCTGGACCAGCTGGAGATAGCTGACTTGGACTCTGGTCTCCCCACACCCCTGCTGGTTACCATGTTGTCCACAAAGCCTTCATTGACAGGGACGAATAGTGTCTTATATGTGAGCTCGTCCTCCAGGAAGTCCAGGAAGTCGAGACCACGCTGGGTGGCATTGGCATAGTCCAGCAGCATCTGGCTCAGAGGAGAGGCAGAGCTGTGAGCAGGCTCCCTCCTCAGGGACACCTGCTGCTCTGCACCCCCCCACCCCCAAGGCTGGGCCCCACATGTGTACCCCATAGAAAGTGGAGAAGTTGGCAGTGGCAGCCAGCACATCCAGCAGCTTCCCGTTGCAAGAGCTGATCCCGTCACCCACGAAGCCATCTTGGCATTGGCAGGCCACATCTGCAGGAAAGGCAGGTCAGTGGCTCAGTGGATTGGGGAAGGGGCAGAGCTGGGGAAGTAGGGTTTGGTCGGGTGGACGCACCTTGCACGCGGAAGCAGTAGGCATCCCAGCGCTCCGAGAGGTTCTTTCGAGCACCCAGGCTGACTATGCCCACCCGACTGCTGCCACAGTCTGCCGTAGGGAAAACCACAGGGTGGGCAGCAGAGCCGTTGGCCAGCCAGCCCATGAGGCACAGGTGGAAGCCCAGCTGTAGGAACAAGAGGGGATGCTGAGACCCAAGACCCAGTTAAGGCCTCCCCCAAAGGCTTGGCCCCAAATTCTGGGCCCCACACACCTTCTGGGCAGCAGAGAGCTGAGGGAATGAAGCAAGGACAGCTCCCTGGGCTTCACATGCCGCCTCAGCCTCTGAAAAGTTCAGACCATAAGGGCCGCTGGTGGCCTGGAGGTGGAAGACGCCAGCCCGTTTCTCTGCAGAATGGAGGTATGCAGTCAGCTGACCAGCTCTGAAGGATGAAACAGGGGTATTGGGAATTGGCAGGGGACACACCCTGGAAGTGCAGGTCAGTGCACACAGCATCTGAGTGGCAGGGCGGTGGCTGGCCCAGGCAGCGGTCCACAGGTGGTTCCGACTCCTCCATACACTGCAGTCCATCACCCACGTAGCCTGCGTGGCACTCACAGCGCCGTGTGTTCTGGGTTGGGGAGAGCAGTGGGTGCCCTTCAGAGGCCAAAAGGTCTGCTGGGCCTCCCCACCCTGGCTGCTCAGCTCCCCCACCTGCTCACCAGGCCAGTGCTCAGGCAGTCTGCATGCTCGCTGCAGCCCCCACGGTGGCCATCTGCGCAGGGGTTGCGGGCGTGGCAGCTCCAGCCATCTCCCTCGTAGTCGGGCAGGCAGGTACAAGTGACCACTGTTCCCACCTGGCTGCAGTTGGCATGCTCACTGCAACCACCATGCCCATCCTGGCACAGGTCTGCCACTGAGGGTGGGGAGGGAGTGGTTGGACCCAGTGGCTGCAGGAGAGTGGGGGCCTCCCACCTCCATGTCCCTGCCCACCTGCCTACCTGTACACACTCGGCCATCCCCTTCGTAGCCCAGACTGCACTCACAGCTGTTCCCTGCACGGCACACGGCCTCAGGTGCACAGGGTGGGGTGCACACAGGCTGCAGCTCTGCCCCCCAGGGCCCAGCCCCCAGAATCAGGTTAGTAGTTGCCTTCTTGGCCTCCGCCTGTTTCCCCCACCCTTAGTGTCTTTACTGATGTGTGCACATGTACACAAGTGTGCAGGGTGAGCAGGAGCATGGGGCTACTCACCCAGTTGTACCTCACAGCGTGGCCCAGTCCAGCCTTCATCACAGAAGCAGGAGCCAGAGCCTCCAAGGCCCTCATCACAGCGGCCATGCACAGTGCAGCGGCAGGCTGAGGACAGGGACAGCAGGAAGATAAAGATTAGCCCGCAGGGGCCAAAAGAATCAGGGTGTGGGGTGGAGCGGGGGATGGCCCACCTTGACAATGGGGCCCAAAGGCACCAGGAGCACAGAGTTCACAGGCTGTCCCCACAAAACCTGAACGGCACAGACACTGGCCACTGCCACTCATGCCGTCCATGCACACGCCATGGTCACTACAAGGGCTGCTGGGGCCGCCAGGGCAAGCTGGGGGATAGGGTGGGAGAAGTGAGGTGGGGCCAGGGGCTCTCACCAGGACCCCTGCACATGTACCTCCAGCCTAGCCCTGCCATCTGTCCCTGACCCATGTCCCCACACTGCTAAGATCCCTCCAGGTGTGTGTCCTGGAGAACATCCAGATCCCCCAGCACTGCTCCCCAGGTTCTGCACTGTCCACTCTCCAGCCCTGCCCTCTCCCAGCACTCCCACTAATAAAATCTAACCACCCAGAACTCCTCAGCCCTGCATACCCCATTGCTGTCTCAGGGACAATGGCCAGAGCTGTGCTTTGGCTCTCTTGGGGAATAGAGGTGCAGGTCAACAGTGTCTCAGGGCTCACCTTGGCACTCACTGCCATAGTGACCAGGGCAGCAGCTGGGTTTCCAGATGGTGGTGACACAATTGCGGCGGCAGCCCCTGTCCAGGCTGTGGGGCTGATCCCAAAGCTTGTGGTGGAGCCAGATGCTGCGGCGTAGTCCCAAAGGGTGCAGCGAATGGAGCATCCAGAACTTCGAGGATAAGTGCCAGCAGGCCTCAGGTCTGCCCTGGGCCGAAGGGTTGAGGCCGCAGTTTGGTGGTTCTGAGTTTGGTGGTCCTTGGGTTCTGCCCACCCCCAGTCCCTCCCTCACCCAGTTCCCTCAGCTCCCATCTCTCTACCTGCTCCTGTGACCCCTGAGGACAGGGTGGCTCCAGCCCGCAGATGCTGCAAGTGTTCTGGAAGGGAGGGAGGCCAAGACAGCAAAGTCAGGTGGATGGACACCACAGGCAGGGTGGCCTCCCACCCGTCTGCTCCTGGCCTCCCTCACCACTTTCAGGGCCCAGGTCTCAAAGCGGTCACAGCGAGCACCAAGGCCAGGTGGCTCCAGCAGCTGGTCGATGCCGTAGGCTAGGCCTCCCTCAAAGGGCAAGTGCCGCTGCACGATGCGGGCACCATCCTCCCCCACTGTGAGCTCACCCTGCATGGGGAGAATGTGAGGTACTCGAGGGTCACAGATCACTCCAGCCCCCACTGCCAGGGCCACTGCCTCCTACTACCCTCATCCAAGCCCTTTCCCCAGACTCACGGGCCGCATTCGGCTGCAGGAGAAAGAGATGGGGGTCCCATGCATAGTTCGAAGTGGGCCCATATTGGGCAGGTCAGATGCCAAGGCCTAGCAGGTGGAGTCATGGTTGGAGGCGGAGAGACAGGCTGAGCTACAGACAGCGAGACCAAGGCTGGGGGCTGCACCCACCTCGACACTGCGGATTATATGGCCCCGAAGGATGGCTGCTAGCTTGTCACGGTGGTCCTCATGGTACAGCCAGGCCTGGCGTTCCAGAGGCAGGGCTTGCAAGGCGGCATCTGTGGGCCACAGCATTGTGAAGGGCCTATGGGATGGGTCTCGAAGCAGGGGCAGGAGGCCAGCCATCTGGTGGGATGCAGCAAAGATGCGGCAGTTGCAGCCCAGTCAGAGACTAGTGAGCCAAGGCAGCGGGCTGTGCCACAGAGCAGGAAGGGGCTCCAGAGGCACCCACACTCATCTGCAGCCGTCCCAGGCAGGCATGAGCATGCACACATCTCAGCCGTGCACACTGCTATCAGAAATGCAGTCACACACTTGGCACACCCCTGTGCTCACCCTGGGGGGCTCATGCACACAGATGTGGCCTGTACACACATGAGTTGATACAGGCTCACACAGGACAGTCTGGCCACAGGCAGTGTGAAGCAACTGCAGTGGCTGCCCCTGGCCGGGCTTTGGAGCACAGCACACACACGTACAAGGGCACATGTGCACATATGCTCACGACGACAGGCCCACCAGTACCTTCAGGAGGCTACTGACGATCTTGTAACCAAAGCTCTGGGCAGCGGCAGTGACGTTTCTCTGGGGAAAGGCACTGATAAACAGCTAGGCCAGGCAGGAAGGGAGGATCCTAGGCCCCCAGCTGCCTGCCTTCCAGCTCCTAGGCCTGTGCCTGTCATACCCTCAGGACTGGGGTATCACCCGACTCCCAGTGCAGGGCCTCAGGGGGCAGCAGGACACGGTCAATGAAGTGCAGGATGCCGTTCACCGCCTCATGGTCACTGCTCACCACGCGCGCGAAGTCATTGAGGTATATGCTGCCCTGGGGACCGGCACGGGGCTGCTGAAGCCAATGGGTGGGGTGCTCAAAAGCTGCCAGGGGCCTGAGGTGGGGCGGAGCCTGGGTTGGGCGAGTCTTAGGGTGCAGGCAGTCCCGGGTTCGAGACCAGGACTGCAGGTGGGCGGGATCCAGGGCGGAGTCAGGGCAGGGGGTGGGGCTCTGTCCTCAGAAGCACCCGAGGGCTCTGGGCTGGACAGGCCCACGGCAGTGGGTGAGGCACAGATCGTGCGTGGGGTCCCAGCCTGAACTCAGCTCCCTTTCCCGGAGGTGCCCCCTAGCTGGGGGAGGTGAGGGTCTGGACCTTGGGTGGGGGCGGGTAGAGCGGGGCGGGGCGGGGGCTCACCTCCCTCTCGCTGAAGCGCAGTGGGTGCCCCGAGAGCGTCGTGGCATACCCCTGCTCCAGGAGGTCCTCGCTCCGCAGCCGCCGGCAGCCAATCACGTGGTAGCGAAACACCAGCTGGCGATGCACGCGAATCCGGGCCAGCTCATCCTGGAGCAGAGTCGCGAGGGGAGTGGGCAGTCCTTGACTGCCCCCCTCCGCCGCCTATGCAGGGCTGCCACTGGAGCGCCCAGCCCTGCCCAGCCTGGCTCTGGGGGCTGCGTACCTGCGACAGATTGCTCATTAGATAGGCGTGCGGCACGAAGATGGTGAAAGGCCCATCGCCCTTGAGCTCCTTGTATTCCTGCGGGAGGGGATAATGGCATGAATGGAAGGGGAGCAGCCTGAGGCCTCCATGGATCTCCTGGGGAGGACTTGAACTCAGAGAGCAAACCGGCCAACCCCCTGACAAGATGGGAACAGAAGCCCAAAGAGGGGTGGGACTTGTAGGTCACAGAGGCCCAGGCTGGCCACTCACCAGGAGGTGGAGGCTGAAGAAAGAGGCATGCTTATCCTTCTGGAGCTCCTGGAGGGGGCGAGGGTCAGCTCAGATTTGGGGCGGCCCCCATTCAGGGCCTGGTGCCTGTCCCAGCACCTGCGGCCCAAGGTCTAGCCAAGGCAGATATGAGGAAAGGAAAGCCGGGGGGTCTGAATTGGGGTCAGGGCTAGTTTCATGGGTCATAGCTGGGGTCAGGCCCAGGTAGAGTCAGGGGTCAGGCTCAGGGTCATGGTCAGGGTCAGGATCAGGATCAGGATCAGGTCTTTGCCAAGACCATGGGTCAGGCCCATGGGGCAGAGCCAAGACCAGATCGGGGTCTGACTTGGGCATCATTACCAGGCCAACTCGGGTACGGCAGGTGAGGCCATCCCCAACGGTGTGAGTTGTGTCACAGGTACAGGTCCTCTGGCCATCCCCTGTGCTTTTGCACGTGGCATAAGGGCTGCAGCCTCCATTGTTCTGAGGCAGGGACAGGAGAGGAAGGTATCAGTGGCTTCCAGGACTTCTCTATCCCACCCAGCCCTGTGAAAGAGGCAGGAAGACCCCTTCGCAGCCCCCCACATCCTCTTTCCCACTGATCAAACTCAAGCTTGAGGGGAGGATGGCCCACCCTGCAGAAGCTCTTAGGACCCTGCTGGAAGTAAGGCAGGCTGGTTCCTGCCTCAGTCCTCTCTCCCTGTGAAGGAGGACAGGACTAGGGGCCCAACCTTAGAGCAGGGGTCCAGGAGGTCGCAGGTCTGGATGCCATCCCCACTGTAGCCCTCAAGGCAGCTGCAGGAGACCTGTCCCCAGTTTCAATCAGTCGGGCTGCTGGGAGCCAACAGCTGTCCAGCACCCCGGGTAAAAGGGTCACCCCCAGGCCTGCCCTGAAGGGAGGCCCCACCCTGTGAGGGTATGGCATGGCCCTCATATCCACCCTTGCCATGCTGACCTGCTGGGGGCCCGTGGGGATGCACTCCGCGTGAATGTGGCAGCCCCCGTGGTGGATGAGACAGCTGTTAATTTCTGAGGGAAGAGACACTGGGATGGGGGTGGCCCTTAGTAGCAGCCCCCCCTTCATCTGTCCTCTGTACCTTCAGGTCCCACCCCTCCTCTCTCAGCACCCCCAGTCCCCAAATGTCCCCATGCTCCTCAGCCCTTCCTAGTCTGACTGAGATCACTGAAACCAGACCCCTAGCCCCACATACAACCCAGGTTGGGGGTCCAGTCTCACCCTGGCACAGCTCCCCATCACCCGCGTAGCCATCCTGGCAGGTGCATGTCCGCTGCCCAGGTGCCACCTTGGTACAGTTGGCATGGGGGGAGCAGCCCCCATGGCCATGGGCACAGGGGTCCACCTCTAGAGGAGATGGTCCCAGAGAGTCGTAAGGAGCAGGCACGGGCCATGGGGGGACAGGAGAGGAGGGCGTGAGAGAAAGGAAAAAGTCAGAGAGAAGGGTGAGGCCCGAGATGGGACAGCAAGAACAACTGGGCCTAGAGGGAGTGAAGGGGCTCTGTGGGGACAGCCACCCCAAAACTTCAGGAAGGGCCCCGGGTATCCATGTGGCTGGACCTGAGCAGAAGATGCCACTGCCAGAGTATCCTGCGGCGCAGGCACAGATGGGGGCTCCGGCTGAGTCCTGCACGCAGCTGGGAGGGGTGGCAGCAGCTCAGCCCATGCCTGCCCAGCCGTGCCTTGACCCCCAGGGCCCCCGCCACTCGCCCACCTGCCCCAGACTGGGCCCACTCACTTGGCATTGGGGTCGCACTTCCTAGGGCACTGAGGGCCGGTGATTTCTGGGGGGCAGGAAGATGACTGGTCATTCGGACCCAGGAACTGCCTCCTCAGTAGCCACCTGCCCCCTCCCCATGGGGACCCACTCACTCTGGTCACAGCGGAGGCCCTGCCAGCCCACATTACAGACACAGCTTCCATCCCCTTGCAGCCCCTCCTGGCACAGCCCATGGGCACAGTCACACACTGCAATGGGATGGAGGAGGACAGGAGTTACCCAGTGCCTCTATCTTGTCCTGGCTTGGGTCTCTGGGCTGTTCTCTGCTGCCAGGAACCCACCCCGCTCTTCCCTGTCCTCACCTCCGGTGCAGTTGGGTCCATAGCGGCCCAGCTCACACATCTCACAGGCTGTTCCGTGGAAGCCCTCGTGGCAGCGGCACTCCCCACTGCCCAGGAACCTGTCCTGGCACTGCCCGTGGCCTGAGCACACACCCCCCAGGCCCCCTGGGCATGGCTCACACAGCATGCCAAAGAAGCCAGGACAGCAGTCTGGCACCTGTTGGAGGGGGTATGGGAGAGAGGGTGAGAGAGGCCGAGTATGGATGTCAGGGGGAAGGGGAACGGGGGCATCTCAGGGCCACAGAGCCATGGAGCAAAGCCCCTTGGAACCCCAGACCCAGAGATGAGCAGGTCAGAGCCAAGAAAGACACAGAGATGCCTCCTAAAACCCGCCCTCTGGCAAGGTGGGAAAACTGAGGCTCAAGTAGGGAAGGGCTGCACCCAGATCCCACAGTGAGGGGCTGAGCAGGCCCAGTTGCTGCCCCTGGGCTTTGGCTGATGGAGCCAGCTCCAGACTGCCTTTTCTTCCTCTCACTGTCTCCGCTCCCTGGGGGAGCAGATACAGGGACAAACACTTGCCCTCTGTCTTCAAACCTCTCTCCCCTCTCCTTTGTCTGGGTTCTGGCCTCAACCTAGTCCCAGGCCAGCCTCTGCCCTTAAGATCCCAACTGGGCTCCTCCCTGATCCTCCCTGACTCCCACCTCCCTCTCTCTGGACAGGCTTGGGGTGGGGGCTTCAGGACAAACCTGGATCTTCTTGGCACATGTGTAAGAGCAGCCCCGGGCAAAAGAGAAGCCAGATCGGTAGACACAGCTTTTCCTGGGTGTGTCCTGGAAATGGTGACAGTCAGGAGGGGTCAGCCAGCGGCTTGGGCAGGGGCAGGGCAGTGAACAGGGAGACAGACAGAGGAACTGCAGGTATCAGGCAGATGAGCAGAACAGCAGAAGTGTCAGGGAGGGACCAAGACAGACTGTCTGATGGGAGAGGGCAGACAGAATCCAAGCTGCAAGTCTGAGGGAGTCTTCTAAGAAGAGCAGACCAGCCCTCCGGGCCTCTATGGGGACATCTGCCACCCAGTTCCCTGTGTCTGGATGCCTGGGCCAAGCAGAGCTGGGCTGGAAGGTAAGGGGATTGGGCACCCTGGCAGAAGTGAGGGCAGGCAGCACAGGGACAGAGCTGCACTAAGCCAGCCTCACCTGCAGCTGGTAGCCCTGAGTGCAGCGGAATTTCCTGGTGCAGTTTACGCATTTCTCCTAGGCAAAAATGGGTTGGGCATCAGGCAGTCCTGGGCTGGACCCCTGCCCTTCCTCCAGGACACCCTGACCATGTGCTCCTCCAGTCAGGCCAGCCAGCAGCTCCCCGCTCTGAACTCCCCTGCCAGCCCTCCCCTGGCCCCACCCAGCCTCTCACCCGCAGGGCCTCAGCGTGGCTATGCAGGCAGCGGCTTGAGCCCACTGTCAGGACCCCAGACAGGCCAATCAGTGAGCGGCCAGGGGCCTCCAGCATGGGGCCTTCCAGCGGTACATGGTTTACCTCAGGCTGGGGAGAGAGATGGAAGCTGAATCCACCCTCCCACCACCCTCACCAGGCAGGGCTTAAGGTCAGGCGGTTCTCCAGGGCGGGGTGGCTCCCCGGAGCAGAGATTAGAGGCTCCCAGCCGAGGAAACTCCAAAGGGAAGGAAGAGATCTTCAGGAGTAGGAGCCCAGGCTAGGGTCTCCCTGCTCCCTGCCCCACAAACCTGGCCACTGTGGTTGTAGAAGACAATCCAATGGGCAGGGCCCAGGAGGGAGTTGCGGTGTCCACCCTTCCCCAGGGCTTCCATGGAGAGGGCCTCCCCCAGGATCACGTGGTGCCGCACTGTGTCTGCATCCTGGGAGGGAAAGAGAAAGCTCAGGGGACTCCAGGATAACCAAGTGCCCTGGACAGACCACCACACCCACTGTGTCCCTTCGTGGTGGGATGGGAGGCTTGCCCTCTGTGCCTTTGCCCCCTGCCATTGCCCCATCTCCATGGCCTCACCAGGCGGCTGCTGTTGCCCTGGGCCTCCAAGGAGTGGTTGGTGGGCACAAAGATGGTGTAGGCAGTGGCAGCCTCAATCTGAGGAACCAACCTATGATGCTAGGGATGGGGTAGAGGTCAGAGATGGGCATATTAGTTGTCAGTCTTGACACTGGGAGCCAGCCAGCTCCCTCTGGACCTGGGGCACAGTGCCCTGTGAGCAGGCATGTCCCCCCTTGCCAGCCTTCCTTACCTGCAACAAGTCCCGGAAGAGGCTGAAGGCAGGCACCAAGCCCAGCTGCTGCAGCAAGCCCTGCACACCAGGCACATCCCCTCGAGGGGGCAGTAAGATCTGGTACGGAGCACAGGGGCCTGGTCAGCATGCCACTGCTTCACGGCCTGCCTGCAAGGTTCCCTGTGCACACCCTCCTCCAGCCATACCTGGCTGATGATGTGTAGGACACCATTGGTGGCAAGGAGGTCAGCCACGTCCACGCTGGCATTCTGCACCCAGACCCTCTGGAAGGCAGCAGCAGAGCTCAGCCACAGGTGGGCACAGATAGACCCTTAAAGGTGGGGCAGCCCCAACAGAAAGCCTGCCAGGCACACAGGCACCCACAGGTGGTCCCCACGGTGGCCCAGGGGCTGGGTCCTGCACAGAAGCTCCTCCCAGGAACCGACTCTGATCCCTAGTCAGCTAAGCACACAGACTCCACAGGGCATGCATGGGCAGCTCAGATGGACAGATGGCCCCCAGCAGCCGGTCACTCTCGGCCCAGAGACTCCACGTCCATCAGCAATGTGTCCTTAGCACGTCCTCTGAGCCCAGCTCTGGGAAGGGCGAGGGGACCCCAATCTCATATCTGATGTGGGAGAGCCTGCAGCCACTGGGGCTCCCTCCCATGCACCACCTGGTCCCCTTCGTGGCCCAGAGTTCACCACATACCCCACTAATGTTGTGAATCTCCCAGTGTGTGCTGGGGTCCAGGGTGGCCACTTCCTGCCCATGCAGCTGGGCTAGCTCCTTCTCGAAGAAGGCACCCTGGAGAAAATGGGCCCTGATGGGGCAGTTTGGGAGGGTCATGGAATCAGTTAGTGTAAGTTATGGAGACCTTTGGTACTGGGCCAACCCCAATGGGTAAGCGCCTGCCAGGCTGAGGACTTGCTGGGGCGGGGCGGGGTCCTGCAGGAAGCCCCTCCTGCAGCTTGGCAATGGTGGTCTCACCTGACTAGATTCGGCAGCATCCGTGGCTGCAGCCAGAAAGCTTGGTCCTCGGGGCTCAGCCGACGGATGGCAGCCTCAGAGGGCACCAGGGCTGTGACTTGGTGGTCAGCAGGAAGCGTGATGCCGGTGCTCTGCACGCACACAGGGAGCAGGGCGGGAGTGATGAAGGCAGCTGCCATCTTCAGATTACTGCTCTAGGCTCCTGGATTTGAGCCCCCAGCCCCAGAATTCTGCCCTGTCCTACCTTGAACCACTCATAGAAGACAGAGAAATGGGCATTTGCCTCCAACTCCTAAGGGAAGGGAAAAGGCTGAGGTCACAGACCAAAGGCAAATTCAAGCCCCTTCCCTACCATGGGTCCTGATTAGCGCCGCTTTCCCACCTGAGGTGCTGGAGAGGGCTCCTCCCCAGCCAAGCACAGGGAAGACAGAAAATGAGCCTGAGCACCTCTTACCTGGAAGATGTCTCCGTAACAGCTGAGGCCATCACCCCCAAAGCCAGGGGGGCACGTGCAGACCCGCTGACCTCCCCCCACTGCCCGGCAGGTGGCCTATGGTGGGAGTGAAAAAGGGCCTCCATTCAGACCCAGACGGCAGCTGGGTCCCTCCCTCCCCCAGCTGTCCAGCCACCCAGCCCCAGCCCCAGCCCCAGCCCTTGCTCTGCAGCCACTTGGTCTGTGTTGGTGGCGCTCCTTCGGTGTGCCTAGCCCTCCCACCCAGGATCACTGGGCATCTGACATGAGCATTACCCATACCAGGTGAGTGCTGGGGAGCCCAGGGCTGTGGGGGCACCCAAGAGGCTCTGCACTCTCAGGAGCTGAAGCTGAGAGCAGGAGGAGCTAGCCAGGCCCAGGTGTGGCTCGGCTTGCAGAGGCAGGGGTGTGGTGGGGTGGAGCAAGGACAGGGGACAGAGAGGAGTTCAGCACAGCCAAGGACTGTGGAACAGGCGCAGGAGTGGAACAGAGAGGGAAGGCTGGGCAGGGGCGGGGCCTTAGTAAGGAGGGTGAAGGGGAAGAGGAGTGACATGGTTGAAGTTTAGAAAGCTCTTCCTCCTGACAGGATAGACACACCCAAAGATGGGCAGGGAGGGAGAGCCGTAGCCCAGGCCCACCCAGAAAGCCTCCCCAGGGCTCTGAGCCTTGCACCCCCTTACCAGGCCGTGGCAGCCGCCATTGCCTGCCCGGCAGGGGTCGATGGGACTGCACTGGTAGCCATCCCCCGCAAAGTCTGGCTTGCAGGTGCATCGGCTCTAGAGAGGTTGGGAACAGACAGCCTGGTCTCATGATGAGCATTCGACTCTTCCTTCCTCCATTACTTGGCTCTCGCTGGGCACTGCCCCTGGGGAGGCCTGCCCAGACCCCCGAGGAACTTCTCCCAGCCCTACTCTCGGAGATCTGTGCTCTAGATGGGGAGACAGAGGCCCTAAGGGGAGACTGGCTCTCAGGATGAGTCCGCAGAGGTGAGAGCATTGGCAGAGAAGCATCCATGGCAACTTGTTGCCCCTATACTTTGAGCTTGCGGCTCTGTTAGAGTCATTGAGGCCAGCAGCTAACTTGTGGCAAGTGGGCAGGTATCTGTCAAGGCCAGTCCAGGAGAGTGGCTCAGATCCTACCTCCACCCCTGCCACCCTGTTCAGCTGCTCTTGTCCCTCCCACCAAATGCCAGTGCCCCTGGGCCTGCATACACTGCAGGTGAGTGACCAGAGAGACCCCTCAGCTCTCAGGTGCCCTAGTTTGCACATTGGGGGCATCTCACTGGCGCATTCAGTACCTCCATTCTGAATCGTAAGGCCCTTATGGGGTTTGGAGCTTCAGCTCTTACATCTGTCAGTACTTACTGCTAAGGCTCCATGTGCTGGCACCTAGAGGCCATCTTGGAGTTGGGAGGACAGGGAGGCCCATAGGCCTGGCCATGCTAAGGCTGACCCTGACCTGCCAGGCCTGGGTCAAATGCGGAGGCTGACCCTGACCTGCCAGGCCTGGGTCAAATGCGGAGGCTGACCCTGACCTGCCAGGCCTGGGTCAAATGCGGAGGCTGACCCTGACCAGCCAGGCCTGGGTCAAATGCGGAGGCTGACCCTGACCAGCCAGGCCTGGCCTCCCAACTGACTCATTAGACAGTCTTCAATGCCTGTTCAAATGCAGACTCACCAGTCCTGAAATGCTCTGCATGGAAGGCTCCAGGTTCTGAGTTCCTGTAACTAGACTCAGACACTGCAAAGCTCCAGGGCTGGATTTTCATGAGGCTAAGGTTTCAGGGAGGTCACTCCCATGGGCAGGGAGCTTTTCCTGCTTTGCTCAGTATTGCATTCCCTGCATCTAGAATAGGGGCTAGAACGGGCCACTTGCCTGATAACACCTGGGAAAGCAATGAGTGGGTGGAGGAAGAAGCAAATCCCAGCTGTACTACTCAGCATGTCAGCACTGGGTTCTCATCTGCACCTGAAGTTCCAGACCCTGAGCACCTGATTCTGCGTTCCAGGAGTCAGATGGGGCAGGGAGAGACTTCCCCCAGAACCAAGGCCCCCACCCCTTCTCTGCTGCACCTCACCTGCCCAGGGCCCACATAGCTGCAGAGGGCGTCAGCGTGGCAGCCACCTCTCGTGTCCAGCTCGCACTCGTTGATAGCCACACAGACGTGGCCATCCCCACTCCAGCCTTTGTGGCATGTGCAGTTGTGGGTGCCCCGGGCCCCAGGGACACACTCAGCCTATGAGAGCCAAGGATAAATAACTCAGAGACAAGGGTTGTAGCCAGAGGGCCAGGGCGTCCCACCTCCTGCCTCTGGGTCAGAACTTCAGGGAAGGAGCAAGGGGACTGACATTCTCTGAGCAGCCGCCACGGTCCGGGTGGGAGCAGGGGTTGCTGGGTGTGCAGGAGAAGCCATTGCCCTCAAAGCCATCAAGACAGCGACATCTGGGGGTGGACGAAGGAGGGGCCTCCAGTGAGCCTCAGGAGGAGGCTAGAGGCTGCACAGACAGATGTGAAAGGTCACAGGTGGGGCAGAGAGAAGGTGTGAGTCCTCACCTGGCAAAGCCCCCCTGGGTGACACAGTGGGCATGCAGGTGGCAGTGTACGGCCATCTCTATGGGCCCACAGAAACTCGCAGTCTCATTGCAGAAGTGGCCACTGAAGCCAGGGGCACATGTGCCCTGCTGGCACACCCCCCCACTGCCTGGACGGTTGTCGCAGAGACCATGGACACAGCCGCAGTCTGTAGGTAGGAGATGGGAGCAGGGAAGCTGAGGAGCAAGAGGCAGCGCTGGCTGGATGGGCTTTGGGGATACAGGGAGTAGGGCAGCCAATACAGATTGGACTTCAGGGTCAAAAAATCAGAGGTTTTCTCAGACTCAATAGGCAGATGAAATGTGAGGGGGGCATTCTGAGTTTTCAGTCACCCCATTCTAGTTGCCTGGGTCCCAGCACCACCATCAGGAGGTTCTTCGGTGTGTCTGACCTAAGTCCCACATGCTTTAAATCAAGCCACAGTTCCCTTCCTGGAATGGGTGAAGGGGAGAGTATCTCCTGTTCTCAAATCTTTCTCTATTCCCTCTGGCCTTCATTCCTCCTCCTGGGGCCTCTTTTCCCTTCTTGAGAGCCCCATTTTCAAGCAGACGTTTTTTCTCCCTAGGAGGTGGCCTGGGCTAGGACAACCCACCTTCCTGGCACCGATCTCCATGCTTGTTTGGGTTGGAGCAGATGTGGCAGGCAATGCCCTTATAGTCTTGGAAGCAGAGGCAGGCCCCGTTGCCCTGGATCCCATCACTGCACTAGAGAATGAGCAGGAGGCAGGATTAGTCATGGGGAAGGGACTCTCCACATCCCCTCTCCCAACACTCCCTCGTTTCATGAGCTGGCTCTGACGCTCCCCATGAGAACTCATCCTGGAAGGGCTCTTCAAAATCACTGATGCCGCCAAAGACCCAGCCCCTAAAAGGCACCTGGCCCTGGAGGCTTTATGAGTGACATTTGCTCAATCCAGAAACACATAACTCCTGTGTTCTTCTACAGCCAGGTGCTAAAGTAACCCTGATATTTCAAAGCAGTAAAAACAGAACACAAAAGAAAACTACTGCCAAGTAGCTTTTTGGAAATAAATGCCAAAAAATTATCTAATTATTATTATTGTTATTATTACTTGAGATGGAATCTCACTCTGTCGCCCAGGATGGAGTATAGTGGGGTAATCTCAGCTCACTGCAACCTCCACCTCCTGGCTTCAAGTGAGTCTCCTGCATCAGCCTCCCAAGTAGCTGTGTCATGACACCAGGCTATGTTAGTAGAGATAGGGTTTTGCCATGTTGGCCGGGCTGGTCTTGAACTCCTGACCTCAAGTGATCCACCCACCTTGGCCTCTCAAAGTTCTGAGATTACAAGGGTGAGCCTCTCTAATTATTATTATTATTATTATTATTTTAGTTTTTCTTTTCTGCCCATGTTTCAGAGGAGCCTCTTTAATTATTTTTAATTGAAATAGAAATAATTTGATTCAACTTTCCATTGCCTAGATGTGAGGACCCCAAGGCCAGAGCATGGCAGGCTTGACCCAGACACACAGCCAGTCACTGCCCAACTTGTGAAGGAGTCCCTGCCTTCCCCATTCCTCACCCCAGGAGAGGATGGGACTCACATTGCCCTTGCCGTAGCAGGGGCTGGAGAAGCCCCCAGGACACTGTGTGCAGTCAGGCCCGAAGAAACCTTTGCAGCAGCCTTGTTTCTGGAAGAGACAGCAGGTCCAAGAGGCCATCTGGGGCCATGCCCTCCCTGCCCAGGCTGCCTCTGCTCCCTGGCCCCATCTCCGGAGCGAGGGAGTGGATGAGGTTTCTCTGGGCCCCCCTTTTCCACTGTTAGGCTGCAGTGCATCCTCTGAGGAAGCCACCCATCCAGCCCCAGCTTGGGGGCCCCTGAGGAGCAGCAGGTGCCAAGGTGCCCATGGAGTGGGTACCCGGGCCCAGGCTCACCATGACGGTTTGGTTGCAGTAGCTGGCACAGCCCTTCTTTAGCACATTGAGCCCAGTTGGGTCATGGATGTAGACACACTCCTTGGGTAAGATGTCCTGGGTGGGCCGTGCAAAGCCAGTCAGCAGCTGTGGGTCCTGGGCCAGCCCCTTTGCTAGGCAGCCCTGGTCAAGGGTCCTCTGCTCCCTGGGTCCAGAACTCCCATGTAGTCCAGTGGGACTGGGCAGTACTGAGCCTCCAGATCTGGTCTCGTCCCCCAGCCTCTGCTTCTCTGACCCACCCCCTTGACCCAGGGCAGAACCCTCGACAGGCAGTCAGGAGGCCCTGAAGGCTGGGCCAAGGGGTGCTCACCAGCTTCACACTGTTGAGGGGGCATGTGCTGGTGTTCAGGGCTTGGCAGTCCACACAGGAGCCCTGGGCAGGGCAGGGGCAGGATGGGGAGAGGGGTTAGTCATTATTTATTTGGCAAACCCAGAGAAAGGAACATTGAATGGGAATTAGGGGATGAGAAGAGTAAACCACAGGAATCCTAGGGCTGGTGTTTCAGGCAAGGGAGAGCAGGGGCAGGGGAGAGCAGGGGAGAGCGGGGGAGAGCAGGGGCAGGGGAGAGCGGGGGAGAGCAGGGGAGAGCCGGGGAGAGCAGGGGCAGGGGAGAGCAGGGTCAGGGCCCTGAGCTGGGGAGAGCTAGAGTCTCTGGAAAACAACAGAGAGACCAGAGGCAGGCACAGAGCGAGTGAAAGGGAACGGAGCGGTGGAAGATGCAAGAGTTATCTCAGGCCGGGCACCATGGCTCATGCCTGTAATCCCAGCACTTTGGGAGGCCAAGGTAGGCAGATCACCTGAGGTCAAGAGTTTGAGACCAGCCTGCCAACATGGTGAAACCGCGTCTCTATTAAAAATACAAAAATTAGCCAGGTGTGGTGGTAGATGCTGTAGTCCCAGCTACTCAGGAGGCTGAGGCAGGAGAATCACTTGAACCCAGGATTCTGAGATCAAAGTGAGTTGGGATCTTGCTACTGCACTCCAGCCTGGGCAACAGAGCAAGACCCTGCCTCAAAAAAAGAAAATTATCTCAAATGTGGAATCATAGTCCCGGTGTGGGTGAGTGTGAGTGTGTGGGAAGCACAGGTGGGCCCCTGGGAGTCTGCCGGCAGTGTCTCAGAACCGGCGTTAGCCCAGCCCTGACTTGGAGCCTCTCCCTCAGAAGAGGATCAGTTGCTGCAGCGCTGGGCAGGGTGGGAGGGGTTAGGGAGCAGGGTCCTGGCTGTGCAGGTGAGGCTCACCACCACAATCTTGTGCTGCTCCTCGCTGCAGTGCTTGGGCAGGATGGGCAGGATGGTTGGGGGCAGCAGGATGCCGTCTAGCATGTGGATCACACCATTGGAGGCCAGCAGGTCCACCCTCTGCAGCGGGACCCCCTCAGGTCCCAGCAGGATGCGCCCCTGTGGCAGAGACCCATGGTGCCAACCCCCAGCCCACCTGCCCTCAGCCGGGTGGGGCTGCCCACCTCCACCCCTGCAGCCCAGTTAGACCAGGCAGCTCAGTGAGATGCTGAAGGCCCCGCCTGCTGTGCCAGCCACAGCTCTGGCTCAGCTCTGGCCAACGACTCCTCCAGCCTCGAGACCCTTACCTACATGGCTTCTGCCACAGGGGGCCTTACCGTGTGTCCCATGCTCCTCTTTGGAGTCCTCCCCCTTAACCCCCATTGGGCCGCAGCAGAGGAATTTGATCTCTGCCTCCTTCCTTCCCCATGACCCCACCAGGGCCTAGCACTGTCCTGCCTACCACGGGGCTCGGAGCACACAGGGCTGAAAGGCCAAGTGGGCAGCTGGTCACCACCAGCTCCACCATCCATCCAGGTGTCCGTGAGCCTCACCTCCTCAGAGATGTTCACGGCCAGGACCTGGTTGGCCATGGTGAGGATCCGGCCCTTGGAGATGAGCTTCTCAATGGTCAGCTGGGGTGAGGGAGAGTGTGGCATTAGGCTGGCCTCTGGCCACACCTTGGGGCCATACCCGGTCCTGCCCAGGAAGCTCACAGCCACCCCCTTGGTCCCCAGGCTCTGCTCTGTGCTACAGCAGAACAGACAGGAAGGGGAGGGGAGGGGAGGGGAGGAGAGAAGAGATGCAGGCAGCCCCACTGGGTGCAAGCTGGGCGCCCCCCAGACAGGCCTTGCACCTGGCCGTGGTTGTAGACATGGTACCGCACCAACTCCTGCAGTTTGGAGAGACCCTGGCAGGGGAGAGAGGGTTTGGCTCCCAGAGGCCCTGTGGAGGGGTATGGAGGCCCTGGTGCCCCCATACCCGTAGCCCCTTCTCCACCGAGCTTACTGTTGTAAAGAGGTAGATCAGGCGGCCGTCACGCAAGCTGTCCACAGCCTCATTGCTTGGGGCAAAGACTGTGAAGGGCCCAGGTCCGTCCAGGATGGAGGGCAGCCCACAGTTCTGTGGAGGTGCAAGGGAGGCTCAGGGGGCTGCATTGCCAGCCTCCACCTCTGAGTCCTGCCCGGGCCCCGCCACCTTTGGCCTGCAGGAAACTCCCACTGAGTAAAGTGGGAGACATGGATAATGGGTCCATGTTACTGCAGAACCTCAGACTTGAGGATGGGACATGGGCAGAGGCCATGCTACTTCAGAACGCCAGGTCACTGTGGGGCAGATTCTGGGATAATGAGTTCTGGCCCAGAAGCCCAGAAGCCCAGATGGGCTAGGGCCCATCCCCCCAGCTCACCTCCAGGATGGTTTCAAAGCGGCTGAAGGCCTCGGTAGAGGCGAGGATCTGACTGATAGTTCTCTGTAAGGAGGGATGAGTGTGAGGTCCCCAGGGAAGGGGCTGAGGCTGCTTCAGCCCAGGGGGAAGAAGCTGTGCTCCAGCCCTGAGCAGAATGGCTCCTGCCCACTCCCTGCTCTCCGTAGAGGTCTGAGGTCACCCAGCAGCACAGGGGAGGGAAGGGAAGGATGCTGGCTCACCTTGGGATCCCCTGAGATCCCAGAGGGGGGCTGCCACCGCAGGGCAGTGACCACGTGGAAGATGCCATTGGCTGCTACGTTGTTGGGCTTGTAGATGTTGAATGTCTGCTGGGGCTGGTCTTTGTACTTGTAGGAGTATTTCTGGGGAGACACAGGAGGTCTGGCCAGATCTCATAGGCCAGCCCCCTGTCCCGAGGCTCCCTCCCACCTGGACACCCTTGCCAGGCTGTGACTCCTCTTGTCCCCAGGCTGAGCCTCCTCCCTCACCGTGAATTGGTTGAAGGCAACAGTGATCTCCTGCCCAGCCAGAGTCCACCACCTTCGTGTTTGTTGGGTCTTCGTGTCCTCCAGGATGTGCTGCCCTGCGATGATGTGCTGTCGGCAGAGCTGCTGGGCGAGGGATGCCTGCAGACGTAAGGCGGGGAGCCAAGTGAGCCAGGGTGGGGGGCCAGTCCTCTTCACGTCACCCCTACTCAAGCAATGGAGGGGACAGGATGCCTCCCACTGCCTGATGGCCTCCCAGGTTCTCAGGCCTTGAAGACTGCGCTGTATCCAGGGGAGGAGGTAAGGGCCGGGGGCCAGGTCCGCCAGGGGGAGGGGCTCACGTTCATGGTCCTGGAGGAGGAGGAGGGTATGGACGGCACCAGCACAGTGAACGGACCTGCTGTGGTGAGGATCTCCCGGCAGCCCTGGTCTGGGGGCAGGGCAAGGGAGCATCAGAAGGGAGCTGGGGAGACCCTGGGGGTCTCAGAAGACCCTTGGGCATCAGTCCGAGGTGTGGGGGAGTTGGGGTGGGGTATTCAGCCTAGATTTAGGGTAGATGGGGGCCTCAGGGTTGGAGGGCAACTCCCACCTGCTGTGTGCACCCCCACAGCCCACTGTTTGTTCCTACAGCTCTGGGGGAATCTGCAGAGACAGCCCCTCCCTCCCTGCCAGCTGTGCTGGGACTGAGGGGCAGGTCATGGGCAGGCAGTGGGGTCACGCACCCATCATGGCCATGGCGACCCTCAGCTGCAGGAACACCCGGCCTGTCTGCATGGCCTTCTGTACCTCGTGGAGCAGGTGTCCATAGCAGGCACGCCCATCCCCCACCTCGCCCTGCTTGCACACACAGCTGGGAGACCAGGGAGAGCCAGTCAGGGCAGAGGCTGTGCCCTCCAGCCCCTTCCCTCCACACCTCCCCAGAGGGGGCACACGTGTCCAACCCACTGTCTCTGCTCTGAGGCTCCCCCTACCCCCCACACCCCCATGCTCACCTGGTCTTCCCATCAGCGGTCACCTGGCAGGTGGCCGACCGGTCGCATGAGTAGGGGGAGCAGAAGGCTTGGCAGCCCCCAGACACGTTGCTGTTAATGCTGACCAGGCCTGACCGGCAGACGCAGGAAGCCTGGCCCCAACATGGAGGGAGGGGAATACCACGTCCAACCCCGAGAACAACGAGTGTCTGCCCTACCCACAGAGCCCTGCTCAGTCCCTCCCCAAAGAGAACCATCATCCTCTCCCCATTTTACAAATGGAGAAACGGAGGCTCCCAGAAGGCTCGTGACTTGCCCAGGGCCCCTCAGCCAGTGTGAGTGGGTACACTGTGGGGGCAGTTCCAGCCTGGGACCCTGGCTCACCTGGCCCGGCTTCTGGTACACACACAAGGTAGAGTTGCTGGGGCAGCCAGCAAGGTCGTCAGTGCATGGGTCCTTGGGCAGACACAGCATCCCGTCGCCATGGTAGTTCTCAGGACAATGACACTGAGCCTGCCCCGTGGGGCTTACTGAGCACTGGGCCAGCGGTGAGCAGGGTGATGGCCAGCAGGGATTGGGGGCTGCCAGGGCAGAGAGAGAACCCAAGTGAGCCAAACACCCAGGGGCCCTGTCTCCACCACAGCTTCCTCCGAGGGCCAGGGCTGGCAGGCTGACCCAGACCTTGAGGATAGGCTTCCCTTAGGGATGGCTCTCCCTCCCTGTGAATTACATTGTACCTGCTGGGTTAAAGGATGCTCTCCCAGCCCCTGCCCACCCTGAGCTAAAGTCCCTGGCTTCTGAGTCCAGGCTCACCTTGGCATTCACTGCCCTGTTGCGTGTAGCCGGGCAGGCACCTACAGCTGGGGGCCTCTGCAGAGCACTGGGTGTTCTGGGGACAGCGCAGCTTCTGGCAGACGGGCAGCTCTGAGCAGAGAGGAGAGAGCACTGATGGGCCCAAGCCCAGACTGGGGAGGAACACAGGGGCAAAGGGGCCCTGCCTGTTCTGTGTGACTCGGAGCAGGCCCTGCCCTTGTTGGGCCTCTGGACAGCAGACGTCTCAGATGACACCCCTTCCCCAACTAGGCTGCAGGCAGAGGTCCTGCTGAGGCTTGGGCCCCATCCTCAACCAGTTGGCCTCTTTTGCTCGGGCCATGGGGGACCTGCTGCCCCAGGCTGTCGCAGTGGCACTGCTCACCTTGATCACAGTGGGGGCCAGTGTATCCAGCAAAGCACCGGCAGCTTCCATCTCCATGTGGCCCGTGGTTGCACACGCCGTGCACACAGCTGCACACTGGGAGGGACACACAGAGACAGATGGGACCCCAGCCTCACCCAGGCACACATCAGAATGTTGGGTCCCTGCTCTCTGTATTTTTAGAACTCAGCTCAGGCAGGTACAGAGCTGAGTACAGAGTATAGTGCTATACTTAAGAGTACAGAGCTGTGGGCCGGGCGTGGTGGCTCACGCCTGTAATCCCAGCGTTTTGGGAGGCCAAGGCAGGCAGGCGGGTCACGAGGTCAAGAGATCTAGACCATCCTGGCCAACCTGGTGAAACCGTTTCTCTACTAAAAAAAAATACAAAAGTCAGCTGGGTGTGGTGGCACATGCCTGTAGTCCCAGCTACTCTGGAGGCTGAGGCAGGAGAATCGCTTGAACCGGAAGGCGGAGGTTGCAGTGAGCCGAGATTGTGCCACTGCACTCTAGCCTGGCGACAGAGCGAGACTCTGTCTCAAAAAAAAAAAAATGAGTACAGGGCTGTGATGCAGGACCACAGGGGTGGTGGGAGCCCAACCTGGGGCTTCCTGGGGAAGGCCTCTCAGGGCAGCAGCATGTGCAAAGGGCTGGAGGTGTGACAAAGCAAAGCGCGTGGTCCTGAAAGGACGTGCAAGGCTGAGGACCTGGGATAGAGGCTGAAGGGACAGGTGGAAGCCGGTTGTAGGGACTGCATCCCCATGGGTCCCCAGGTGGATGCTGCCCTCCCCTCCTGCCTTGCAAGCACTCACCCGATTGGCAGTCAGGCCCGAACTTGTTGGGGTCTTGGCACTCCTGGCAGGCTGAGCCACGGAAGTTCTCCTGGTAGTGGATGCAGCAAGTCAGCGTGGCCCCTCCGAGCCTCCACCCTACCCTGCCCAGCCCTTACCTGGCACACACAGGTCCCATTCCTGTCTATGCCATCCAAGCAGGTCCCGTGGCCATTGCATGGGGTCTCGGCACCGCCAGGGCATTCTGTGGACCCGGCAGAACTCAGCTCTGTGACCAGAACCCAAGCCCAGACACGGCCCCTCCTCCAGGGCAGCAAGAGTGAGGGGGCTGAGGTGCTCCGTGAGTGTTCATGAGACAACCAGTTGAAGGGGAATGCAGGTAGCTCCTGCAGGGCTCGCCCAGAGCTGGGGGTGGGTGTGAGGAGCACGGCAGGGTCCCCCTTTTAGCCATACCATAGCACTGGGAACCCCAGTAGCCAGGGCAGCAGGCCTTCTCCAACATGTACTTCCAGCACTTCCGTCTGCAGCCACTCATGGACACCATAGAGCCCCCCAGCTGTACTTCATAGCTGGAAGCAGAGGGTGGGTGGGGTGAGGGGAAAGGCTCCCATCTACAGCCCCCCCAAGCCTCCCCACATTGGCTTCTGGGCTCCCCCACAGCTGCTCTTCCTGGCCCAGAGCTGAGCACAGGGCCTAGCACATAGCACATAAAGCCCTCCTGCCCCCTACCTTTACCCCTTCCTCCCCACCTGTCTCTGCCACCCAGGAGGGGCCACAGGGGCATAGATAAGTGAGTGCCTGTCCTCATGTTGTGGGTCTGTCAGGCTCCCCCAGCCTCTGCCACCCCACAGGACACTCCTGAACACACGCAAGTGGGGGGTGGCCCGCACCGGCAGTCCTGGTCTATCTGATCCGGGAGCTCCCGAAGCCAGCCTGGGGGACACATCTGCTTCTTGACGGCCGCGCAAGAGGTGCAGGGTACGTGAGTGGCAAGCGTGGTTTTCACATCACAGCGTTTGGACGGCCCCTGGGCCACAGTTGGGATGTGGTCAGTGACCTGGACTCCGCACCCAGTCCCAACTCTGTCCTTATTGCGGCCAGGCCTCATACCCCTCTAGCTGCCGCTTCCCATGTGCTCAGTGGGAGTGCAGTGTGGTGGGGAAGGCCCTGAGAACCCTGTCTGTCACAAGTTGTTAATGTCATAGCAAGTCCTTATGTGCCTGCTCAGAAGGCTCTGACTGCTTACCCTCTGACACTAGAGAATCTAGCCGAATTTCCCCCTCAGCCCATTTCAGGTAAGGAACAGGGTGTGAACCAGGGACTAGAACCCAGACTTCCAGCCTAGTGCTCACTTTGGCCCTTTGTTTAAAGATAAAGAAATAATACATGGGCTGGGCGCAGTGGCTCAATCCTGTAATCCCAGAACTTTGGGAGGCCGAGGCAGGTGGATCACAAGGTCAGGAGAAGGAGACCATAGTGGCCAACATGGTGAAACCCTGTCTCTACTAGAAAATAGAAAAATCAGCTAGGCATGGTGACATGCACCTGTAGTCCTAGCTACTTGGGAGGCTGAGGCAGGAAAATTGCTTGAACCCAGGAGGCAGAAGTTGCAGTGAACCGAGATTGTGCCATTGCACTCCAGCCTGGTGCTTGGCAACAGAGCCAGACTCTGTCTCAAAAAAAAAAAAAATAATAATATATGACAGAGCTGATGCTGTCTTGGAAGGACACGGTGACGCCATCCTCAACTCATGGGCACAGGCACGATACCAGCTCCAGCCATGTACTGTGGGGCTGGGCCCCCAGCCACCATCTGCTCTGAGCATTTTCCCACATTGCTACCAAATGACCCTCTCTAACTGAGCTCAAGGGCTTTGCTGCCCAGGGGGCAGAGACTAAGGGCCCAGCCCTGAGAGGCTGAGTTCACGTGAGCAGCTATGTGCAGGTCTCTGGTCCGCACGTGATTAGGCTAGTCAGTCACAGGCGACAATGGGCCATGCTGGCCTCTGAGGAAACCCAGGGAACCCTGGCTGGGGGTGATCATTGACTTGGGACCTGAAGGATGTATTGGAATTGGCCAAGGACAGCGCTCCTGGCTGAGGGCACAGCAGAAGCCAAGGCTGGGAGCGGAAAGAAGTAAACAAATGTGTGACAAGGCAGGTAGTGGCCCAGTGGGGACTGGAGAAGATCTGGCGGCCTGGGTGCAGGAGCTCTGTAAACCTGGGTGAGGCAGAGTCCAGGGCAGCCCCGTGACTCAGTTTGTCGTTTTTGTTTGTCTTTGAGACACGGTCTCACTCTGTCGCCCCGGCTGCAGTGCCGTGGTGTGATCCTGGGATCGGGCGATCCTCCCGCCTCAGCCTCCCGAGTAGCTGGGACTGCGGGCATGTGCCACTGTGCCTGGCCAGTTTGTTCTAAATTGGCCCTCTAGCTGCTGCATGGAGAACAGAGTTGAGGGGGCAGGTGTAGGTGGGAAAGAGACCATCACTTGAAGGTGGCCTGGGCCAGCCAAAGCAGGGACAGTGGAAATGGATTGGGAGAGATTTGAGAGGGCTTGAGGTGGTAAGATGAATGGGGACAGGGTCTCAGCAACTGGGTGGGGCTATGGAAAATGTGAGGAGTCCAGCCTGCCACCATGGCATGGGCACTGGGATGCTGATGAAAGCCCCAGCCCTGGAGTCCCATTCACTGGCCTGCCACAGCTCCTGGAAGTCCACCAGCAGGGCTGCCTTCTACGGTAATGAAGTCCCAGTAACCTTCAGCACTGAACCCAGGAGGAGTGGAAGTAAGCTCCTGGTTATAGTGGGAGGAACGGGCATGGTGGGGGGTGTTTGGGAGGCTTAGGGCACAGGTTGGAGAATCGGAGATGTTCTCATCTTGAAAAATGCTGACCACAGTGTGGTCCAAAGGGAGTGACCCCAGAACATCCCTTTCCTAGAATAATTTACAGATGTGTGCTTTCTCAAAACAAGAGAAAAGGAGAAATGGTGCCCTCAACGCTTTCTTCTGGCAAACACTAGGGCCCAGGGCTTCTGTGCTACTGTGATTTGGCCTTTTCCGATCATGCCTCTGCGGTCTGCAAACAGGGAAGTTGCTGGGAGCAGTCTGTGTGGAGCGGCAGAGCTGGGATGTTGTGGGCTTGTTTCCTATCCTGAGGCTCGCCTTTGCTGAGCCAGGGAGTGACTAGGAAATTGGGTAACTCTCAGGCTGAACAGCTGCTGGTTCAGGGCAGAGGCTTGGCAGGAGGCAAGCTCCCCTCAAAGCCACCTGGCCAGCTGGGCAAAACCATTCTGGATGTGGACCAGCTTTTGGAGGAACAGTGGTCAGCTCTGGATTAAGGGCCCCGGCTGAGTAAGACTGTACTGTCTGCACTCTAGGACAGTCAGGGCCCAGAAGGAAGCAAGAGCTTTAGAGCCTGGTGTAGATGTCCGCTCACAGGACCTGGGTGTTTGTGAACATGTGTGAAATGCTGATGAATGGTAAGCCGGCTGCCGCATCTGTGCTTCTCCGGGACCACACCAAGGGGCTCTGCCTCCGCCCTGTGGCCTGGAAGGAGCATCTGCAGTCTGAGCCCGCATCTTGCTGGTAGTCTTGGCTGGGTGGAGTGAGGCTGGATCACAGTCTGAGTGCTGAGTCAGATTCCCTCCTTCCTGGGGGCACCTTGGGACTCAGCCAGAGCGGGTGCTGTCTCTCCCCCACCGCACCCCTGCAGACCTGATTATGCAACGTCGGCTTGCCACACAGCTGCTGCTGGGGGAAGTTGAAGAGACATGAATGTGAAGCCTTTGCTGAGAAGGTGGATGAAATTCTCCCAAGCTGGGACCTGGCTCATGGAGACTTTTTAAGGCTGAGACTCCAGAATCCAAACCCTGTCAGAGAGGAAGGAACCACAAACTGCTTCCCCTACCTTCGGTCAGATCAGGGAGGGCGCAGGGCTGGGTTATGGACTGCGCTCCCCTCCCGCTACAGGTTCCACTGCACATGTCTAGCCATGTGCCCTCGCTGAAAAGCTGCTGAACGGGCAAGTGCTAAGGCCCTTCCTGGGAAGCCTTCCTGCCTTGTTGCCTAGATCCATCTGCACTCTCGTTCTGCTGCTCCCCCTTATGAACATGTGACCTGGGATCTCGCTTCCCCTCAGAGCTGCCATTCCTAACACACAGTTGCCCCTTGGTGTCTGTCGGGGATTGGTTCCAGGATCTTCCTCAGATACCAAAATCCACGGATGCTCACGTCCCTGATATAAAATGGCATGGAGGTTGGGTGTGGTGGCTCACGCCTGTAATCCTAGCACTTTGGGAGGCTAAGGCAGGTGGATCACCTGAAGTCAGGAGTTCGAGATTAGCCTGGCTAATATGGCAAAACCCCACCTCTACTAAAAATGTAAAAATTAGCTGAGTGTGGTGGCATTTGCTTGTAGTCCCAGCTACTTGGGAGGCTGAGGCAAAAGAATCCCTTGAATCCAGGAGGGAGAGGTTGCAGTGAGCTGAGATCATGCCACTGTACTCCAGCCTGGGCAACTGAGCAAGACACCATCTCAAAAACGAAAAAATGGCATCGAATTCACATATAACCTATGCACATCCTCCCATATACCTTAAGTCATCCCTAGACGACTTATAATACTGAATACAATGCGAATGCTATATACATAGAAAAGTCTGAACATGGAGCTGGGCATGGTGGCTCATGACTGTAATCCCAGCACTTTGGGAGGCTAAGGCAGGTGGATTACCTGAGGTCAGAAGTTAGAGACCAGCCTGCCCAAAATGGCAAAACCCCGTCTCTACTAAAAATACAAAACTTAGCTGGGTGTGGTGGCATGTGACTGTAATACCAGCTACTCAGGAGGCTGAGAGAGGAGAATCACTTGAACCCAGGAGACGGCAGTTGCAGTGAGCTGAGATTGTGCCACTGCACTCCAGCCTGGACAACAGAGCGAGACTCCATCTCAAAAAAAAAAAAAAAAAAAAAAAGTCTGAACATGTTCGGCATTCTTTCCCTGAATATTTTCTTTTTCTTTTCTTTTCTTTTTTTTTTTTTTTTTTGAGACCGAGTTTTGCTCTTGCTGCCCAGGCTGGAGTGCAATGGCACAATCTCGGCTCACTGCAACCTTCGCCTCCCAGGTTCAAGTGATTTCCTGCCTCAGTCTCCTAAGTAGCTGGGATTACAGGCATGCACCACCATGCCCAGCTAATTTTTTGTATTTTTAGTAGAGACAGGGTTTCTCCATGTTGGTCAGCCTGGTCTTGAACTCCTGACCTCGTGATCTGCCTATCTCAGCCTCCCAAAGTGCTAGGATTACAGGTGTGAGCCACTGTACCTGGCCTTCCCTTAATATTTTCAATCCAGGGCTGGTTGAACCCACGCACAGAGTGCACAGATACAGACGGCCAACTGCATTTACAGTGGCTCTTAGCTACTCAGGGTGCCGGAACAGAGGCCACCTGGCTGTGTTAGATGGGCCAGCACTGCTGCAGCCCCATCCACAAGGAGTGGCCAGAGCCACAGGTCTCTGACAAGGAAAAACCTCTAATCTGAGGCCCCTCACTGACCTCTGTCCTCACTGCCCAGAGCATGAGGAGGTGGCAGAGGCCTTTGACATTCCCTTGCATGGTATGTGGGGAAACTGAGTTAAGGGGAGGGTAGGAGCTCACCTGCAGGGCTCTCAGCACAGCCCTGGAACCCTTGGCTCTTCCCCCATCACTCAGCCTCATATCTCCCTGACCCCAGCCTTGGCCTGGTCCTGAAGCTTGTGAGGCCCCTCTCCCTGCTGCCTCTCTGAGGGACCGCAGGCGTCCAAGAGAAAGCGCCTGATGGTGGCAGGAGGCCTGGGCCCTTGGCTGGACTGCCTGTGGGATCCTGGGCAGGTCTTTCCCTCTCTGGACCTTTCTCTGCCCATCTGTGCCATGGGGATGGTGGTAGCTGCCCCAAGAGGCAGATGCACTTAGCCTCACAGGAGAGAGACTACCTCCATCATCAGAGTGGGAGACTCTACCAGAAGCTCCAGGAGGAACACTGCCCCTACCATGAGGTCTGGGCAGACCTGCAGTCAGAAGCCTCTCACGGGGACCTGACCGAGGGGCTGGCTGTGGCTACATCCCAGCACCCTGCCTGGCCAGCACGCACGGATCGGAATCATAGGCAGGAGTTTGGAGCATCACTTCAGAGTGGGAGTGGCCTGGCCCTGTCATCCTAGGGCTTTGGCTTCCTCACGAGGAGGACAGGAGGAGTGGCCCTGAGGCTTCAAGGGGACCTGCCAGGCTGCGGCTGCTCCGTGGCAGCTCTGAGGCTGGAGCATGTCCTTGTTAGTTGCTCATAACCCTGGGCATTGGGGTGAGTGACTCATTCTGCCTCCCAGCACTCTTGGGGCTGGACACAGGCACACACACGTGCACACACATGCCCTACATCAATGTTTGTTGTCTTCAGGGGTTGGAGGTGATCACATCACCAACCCCCAGGTGAGGGCCACACAAGACCTGGGCCTCCGTCTGGGCTGGAAGGACAGTAGAGACAGGAAGGGCCTGCCTCTGTATCCTTCAGCTGCAGGCTGGGGAGCCCTGGCCCAGCATAGTCAGAGAAAGGTGGCCGACATACCCCTGCACCCCGGGTGGCCAGATGCAGACCTCAGCCTGGGGAGGTGGGCACAACAGCCACCCCCCGGGCCTGCTCAGAGGTCAGACAGGCACCAGCTGTGGTGTCTCCCCAGGCCCATGCCCATGCCCCTCCACGTCCAGCTCCTCCCTGTTCCCACCACCGGCCAGCAGGGCCCAGATGCTGTGTGCCCCTGGGACTGGCTCACACTCACCTGTCCCCTGATGAAGTTGAAGCCTGCCAGGTAGAAGGCCAGGAGGCAGAGTGGGAGGAGGCCCCGGGGTCCTGCCATGGCTGGCGGGCACCCTGTCCAGGACAGAGTCAGGCAGCCAGTGGCGTAGGGAATGAGCTCTAGGAGGCAGGCACAGTGCAGGCAGGCGGGATGGGGCGGGCAGTGGCCTTAAAAGCAGCCAGGAGGCCCCGCCAGCTCACCCCCACAGGAACCCGCCAGGATTTCCTTCTGCGTATCAGCAGCCTGCAGGCGGAAGGGAAGGTGCTGGCCACTGACCCCCCCATGGATGGCCTGGGCCCTGCTCAGGGCTTCCCGGCCCAGGACCCTCCTAGCATCACAACCTGGAAGCCCAGGCCACCATAAGCCCCCGGGACCTGGGCTCTCATCAGAGGTTCTGAAGCAAATCCAAAGGCACATGTGAATAACCGCCCCGCCCCCCAACCCCACCGCCCCCTGCCTGGGAGCCCAGTGTGTTTCATCCAGAGACTCCGGGGGTTCTGGTTGGCGGAAGGCAGGGTAGTAGTCCCTGGATGGGTCTGTTCCTGCCTCCACCTTTCCAACTCCAGGGTACACATGGAGCTCTGACTCACTGCCGGCACCTTGCTAACCCACCAGCCCCCACCACTCCTGAACAGCTGGTCCTGCCCGCCAACCCACATCCACCTTCCCTTCTTCCCTATCTGCCCACAACTCAGCCTACACTCAGCCAGCTTCTGGCAGCACCTCCAAGCCCCTCTCCAGCCAGCTGGTCTCTCGTGACTCTCCCCAACTAGGTCTGCTCCAGCCACACAGGCCTGTCTGCTCCTTCAAAGTGAGCTCCCCTGGCATGTGCTGTTACCCCAGATTGTCACATACTGGCTCCTTCTCACAGGCCCAGTCTCAAGTCAAGGGCCACCACCTCAGAGTGCCTCCCTGGTCTCAGCCTGCAGGTGGCCCTGAACCTGGCTCACCTCCTGGCGGCACTGGTTACCAGCTAAGATTGGGTTTAGTGTCCTTTGTCTCCCCCTGAAACATCAGCTAAGGGAGAGCAGGGACGCTATCTGGTTGGTACATACAGTGGATGCTCAATTCAGATGTGCAGAAAAAATAAATGAATGGAGGTGGCTCCTTTTACTATCCCTCTGTTACTGGTGGGGAAACCAAGGCTCAGAGGGGTTGGGGAGCTTGTCCAAGGTAATCAGTTTTTTTTTTTGAGACAGAGTTTCGCTGTTGTTACCCAGACTGGAGTGAGATGGCACAATCTCGGCTCACCACAACCTCTGCCTTCTGGGTTCAAGCAATTCTCCTGCCTCAGCCTCCTGAGTAGCTGGGACTACAGGCGCGTACCACCATGCCCAGCTAATTTTTGTATTTTTAGTAGAGACGGGGTTTCACCTTGTTGACCAGGATGGTCTCGATCTCTTGACCTTGTGATCCACCTGCCTTGGCCTCCCAAAGTGCTAGGATTATAGGCGTGAGCCACCGCACCTGGCCAGGTAATCAGTGTTTTAAATCCATCCCAGGGATCCTGCCTGCAAAGCCACCACTGCCTACATAGCCAGCTCCCAGGAGGTGCAGTGGACCCAGGCTAAGGGCCTCTGTGTGCCAGGGCTGTGCGTGGTGGGCCTTGCCTCCATTTATCGCTACCCCCACCTGCAGATGGTGTAACAGTTGGGGAGAGAGGAATGGGCCAGAGCCCAGTGGCCATCTGTAAATGCTTTGGGAAAGGCCAGATAGGGGGACTTCCTCCTCCCCGGCACGCCTCCACTCCCATCAGGTTGGAGGGGCCTTTGGGCAGGCCTCTGAAATCTGGCTGGGATGGGGGTTGCAAGTGGAGACCCTCCTCCCATTCCCCATACCCACAGCCTTCCTGAGGGTGAAGGGTCCTCCAGGAAGGACCCCTACTCTTCTGGCACCGAAGAAACTGGGAGCCAGGCTGGCCACTCCACCCACCTCTCCACAGCCCTGCTTGGCCTGGTGGTCCCAAGGTCCTGGGAACTGAGGCTCCTGGCTGTGTCAGGATGAGTTATGTGAGGCTCATGGGCCCTGCTCTGGCAGCAGGAATGGGGCTGGGGAATAGTGGGGCATGGGGCTGACTCCCAAAAAAGTCCCAGGTCCAACCCTAGCAGGTTCCCTGAAGCAACCCTCAGGGAGTGGCCCACGAGCCTCATGCTTCAGGGATGTGCAGACAGACATGTGCCCTCCCTCCACTGTCCACTACCTGGGTCCACCTCCCCACGGGCATCCCCTACTGCCATTCAAGGGCCACCTTGGTGAGATGCCCTGGCTCCCCCACCAGCCATCCAGACTCTGGGCTCTCTGTTCCCCCTGATCCCTCCTCCGCTCCTCACAGGTATTGTGAGACAGGTGGGGTTGGGTGCAGGGGTGACTGACACAGACCTGCAGGATAGTCTGAAGTGGGTGCATGCCCTGCACCAGGCAAAGGGTGGCGGCTGCTGCATCAGGGCTTCCCTGAGGAGTTTCACAGACTTCCTGTTTGCCCTGGGCTCGTGATTTAGCCATAGTCCAGCATGGCCCTGTCCAGAGAGGCCATGGCCCTGTCATGCCTGCCATGTTCCAAGAAGTACCTGGCTCCTGGAGGCTGCTCCCTCCTTTCCCCCAGCCCTCACCCTTCTGTGTCTTCAGGGCACCCTCTCCCCTATCAACCATGCCCTGGATGGAAGCCCTGCTGGGACCCCAGTGACCCGTGATTTAGAAGATGCAGATGGTGTCAAGCTGCTTTATTGGAATAGAGAATGCAGGCAGCAAGAACAGCGCTTGGTGCTGGCAGCTCCTGGCCCCTGCTCCCACGGGCTCTCCCACTTGTCTGGACCGGGGAGACTCCACAATCTGGGGTGGGAGCTTCCAATGTGCATTCTGCTACCAGCCTCATGATTAGCAGCAAGATGCCCACAACGACAGCAACAGCAACAAAGGACTGGACTTGACACTTCAGGAGAGGACATGTAGAAGAGAAAGATCCACAGCGCCACGCATTAAAACGATCCCACAACAACAGACACAACACTGGTGTGCACGGCCGAGCCACCCTTGGTTGGCTGATGGCACATGGACAGCCCTGGAAGGGCCTGGCATTCTCACTCCCAACATGAGAAAGAATTAACACAACACACACGCATGGTCACATTCTCTGTGAGGACAGTCAAATTAAGGTACCAAAAGGGAGGAGAAAACATTTTAAGAGAACACAAAAGCCTGCTGCCCGGCCTCAGTAGGCATCAGGCTGGACACAGCAGGTGGCAAGGGCTGGCTGTGGCCTGGGGCTAGCCAGTGAGCTCAACAGGCAGCTCACGGCCACACAGGGCCTCCCACTGGCGAGCCAACAATGAAATGAGCTTCTCTCGGCTCTCAGCACTGGGGACAAACACCTGCCACTGGACTTCATGGCCCTGGCCGGCTCTAGCTGGGCTACCTGGCACCTCCCCAAAGTGGTCCAGGGTGACATTGCCCATGAGGTCATGGCCCTGCACATCATCGAAGACAAGGGTGAGGGCCTGTGGGTAGGGCTGGTAGCCCATGAGCACTCGGTCCAGGTCCCGGACGCGGCGGCCATCATCCAGCCGGTACCTGTCTCTCTGCGGTGGCTCTTTGGCAAACTCAGGCAGTGGGTAGTGGATACAGTCCTCATCCAGGAGGAAGATCTTGGAACTGGTGAGCAGGAGTGTCTTGGGGCGCAGGGGGCCCCTGCAGCACCCAGGGGGTGGTATGCCCACCTGGAAGGCCTGCACGTACAGCAGGATGCTGAGGGCTGGGGCCTTCTCTGGCTCGATCATCTTCTGGGCCACAATGAACGTCAGGTCCCCAACCTCCTCCTCACTGGGGTAGGTGAACTTGACACGACTTGAGTGGATCAGCTCGTAGTTCTCCATCTTCCCTGCAGAGAGATGCCACCAGGGCTGTAGCCTGGAACTGGCCCATGGTGGGGCTGGGAGCACCAAGGGCCCCAAGTCAACAGAGAGACCCCAGCATGAGAGAGGCAGGAGAGGATACTCCAGGTACGGGGCCCACAGGCCAGTAGCCCAGAACAGGTACCGGGGCTGTGTCTGCCAGATGGTTGAGGGACTGCCAGGGTAGAGACTCTGCCATCTGAAAGTCCCACATAAAACCCTGGCCAGCTAAGTGAGAAGAGAGCAAAGGGAGAGGCAGAGAGGGTTCTGGGGCGCAGAGAGCTGCCCTGGGGCCTGTGATGTCTGTCCAGATAGCCTGTCTGCAGCCAGAGGTGGACAGGGGTACCTGTGGTCTTGTTCCCAAACTCGGAGTAGAAGTCCTTGTCAACAGGCTCTGGTGAGGGCGTGCGCTCCAGAGAAGACAGCACGACCATGAGGTGCTGAAGGAAGCAGTGTGTCAGGTAGCTGTCTCGCGTCAAGCATGTGACCACCTGTACCGGGTTGGAACCTGCACGAGGCGTGGCGTGGTGGGGGCTGGTCAGAGTCAAAGGCCACTGCTCCCCTACCCCTGTCCCTGCTCCTTAGAGCCAACTTAAGTCCCCAGCAAGCCTCAGCCCAGAGGCCAGGACCAGGAAGGCCACAAAGGAAAGCATCATGGGGTGTGGGAGGAGGCCATTCCTCAGGCCGGAAGAGCTGAGGGATTTTTCTGGAAGGGGAGACAGAGGCAAAGAGCTCAGCTTTCTCTCTTCAGGAAGTATGAGTCAGAAACATCCTGCCCGAGACCAGGGCCCACTCTGCCTCTGTCTGGGCCAGCGCTGGCTGCACGTGCTGCCTCCTGTCCGAGTACTAGAGACTGAGTTCTGCTTTCTCAGCAGTTCCTGAAGCTGTTTCCTCCCACCCTGGGTAAGAAGTGGCTCTTGAGGACTGAGATAACTGCCTATGATAACACGTCCACGTAAGGAAGGTGGAAGCCCACTGGTGATGCTGGCCTTCACCCGAAATAGGACAAAGCACAGAAGGTCACTCACCCGTCAGCCGGAAATGCTGGTCGAAAAGCCCAACGTTGACGGACTGCAGGTCACTGAGCTTTAGCACGAAGCACTGGGAGATGTGGAAGGGACTGTTGTTGTAGTCAGTGTTTTTCTGATGCCAGAAATCTGTGTGATGGAGACAGGGACTGAGGGAGGCGGGGGCAGGCAAGGACAAAGGTCCTAGGTGTGAAGCATGTCCACCAGGAACAGGTCCTCTTGGCTGGCCTGGCCTGGTGAGGCCTGGCAAGGAGCCATTCCCACTTCCACCTACGCAAGGCCCATGGGCAATGTGGACTGGAGTCTGAGTCTCTCCCCACTCACGGAGTCACACCAGGTCACTGGCTAAGGCTTCCTGTGTGGCCCCAGTGGCAGAGGCTGCCCAACCCCTTCTCATCACAGGCTGTTCCCAAGCAGTTACTGGGCCCTGGCTCAGGGTATTCTGCGTTCGCATGTAGCCATGGACCCCTCCCTCACGGTAGCTCCCCTTCCTCAGACAAGAACTCCCAGCCCACTGCAGTCAAGTCACTGACTGCTGCCTGAAGCCACACAGCTGGCTCCAGAGAGGGCCCCCAGCCCATCCCAAGCACACACTCTAAGCTTCTGAGCCCCAGCAGGCCCTGTGCCTACCCTGCAGTGGCTCCGAGAAGTAGCGGCGGAGGCCATCATGGAGCACAAAGTACACAGCCTTGGTGGAGAGCAGCACACAGGCGGTCACCTCCAGCCCCGGGGTCTGGTAGAACACCACCGAGGACCACATGAGGTGCCTAAGCTCCTCGTTTTCAACCTGGAGATGGGGGGGGCCTCCTGTCAGCTCCACCTGCCCATCCCAGGGACATGCCCACCGCTCCCACAAGGAGACATGTGAAGCTCCTCTCCGCTCACCAGTGCATCTGTACACTCAGAGGCAGAGAGGACGTGAGGGGTGGGAGATGGCTGTGGGGGGTCTACCTGGTGCTGGAAGTGGCACAGGAGGTAGTGACAGATCAAAAATGGCCAAAGGAGGGCAACTCAGGACCGTGAGCAGCTCAGCTGAGGACTCCCCGGCATCCGAGAAGTCCAGGGACCTGAGGCTGACCCAAACCCAAGCCTGGCCTTGCCCTCAGGACTGGCTGTGCACCCACACTACCTCAGCAATGCTGCTGTGGAAGAGCTCGATGATGGCGCTGCCCTGCAGGCTGGCGATGTGCCGGAGCGACGGGCAGGCAGGCAAGTGCGAGGGGATCTGATTCTCCTCCGAGGTGGCCTGGATGAGGTGCTCGCTCGGGTACTGGGCAGGGGCCTCGGCTGTGGGTGGGGCTGGAGCTTCCACTGTGGTCTCCTCTGGGACCAAAGCTGAAGCTGAGGCCTCTGCTGGAGCTGGAGTCTTCTCTGAGCCTGAGGCTGAGGCTGCTGCAGGGGATGAAGCTGGAACTTCCACTGGGGCTGGGGCCAGAGCCTCTGCTGGGGCCTCCTGGGGACACTGGTTATTGCTGTAACCCCCAAGAAACACCATGTTAACAGCGGACCCCAAATGAAGATTCACATCGCACATGCAGCTTCAGCATGAGGAGACTGTGTGCATCACACACCATCCATGGGTCACCTGGGGGCTTCATCGCCAGCTTCTCTAAGGAAGAACAAAATGGCATGGCTGGGCACAGTGGTTCACGCTTGTAATCCCAGCACTTTGGGAGGCCGAGGCATGAGAATTGTTGGAGCCCAAAGTTCGAGACCAGCCTGAACAACACAGCAAGATGTTGAGGTGGATGAAGCCTAAAGTATATCCTAGCCCACAGAGCCATTCATGGGACCATGACCCTGGTGGGGGCAGTGCCCAGAGGCCATACTTGGGCCCAGCGGAGCACAGCAGCCAGGGCAACAGCTCTCCCGGCCTTGGTATGCTGCAGCCTGTGACTCTCTCACTGGGCAGGCAAGCCCCCATGGCCGGCCCTGAATGAGTGGCAGGAGCCTGGGGCAACCCGTTTTGTGAGAGGACTGCTTTCCTGGGCTGGTGATATAGAGGAAGGCTAGGAGGACAAGGGGCAGGAGGGGGCCCTGAGAGAGCTGGGCCAACCCCCTGGCCCACACATGAGCCGCAGATGCTGAGATCCAGCACCCATGCCAGACCCATGGCCCCCTGGCTCCTGAGAGCTGTGCTGGGTCTCACCTGGCCCTGCGCTCGGCAGGCTGGGCATCTGCAAAGGGGCCCTGAGGGCTGGCCCTCGTCGCAGGGGTCTTGGCGATGACCACAGTCTTCAGGTCCTGCAGTGAGGCCCGCAGCTGGTTGTAGATGCGCAGGAAGTGGAACTTCTCATGGGGCAGCACGAATATGGCGGTGACGAAGCGGTACCCCACCAGCAGCTCCAGCACATGGCCATCAGCAAAGGCACCCCGAGGCTGGGTGCAGCTTCGTGTGGGGTCTAGCAGCACGGTGGAGAGCGGCACGCGGCTGAGCTTGAAGCTGTTGCGGTTACGACAGTTGTGGGTGCCCCGGTTGGGCATGGGGTTGAAGTCGGCCTTGATGACATTGAGATGCTGGGGCGTGAGCAGCAGCCAGTAGGGGATGGCAGCAGACTTGACAGCCTCAGAGGGTGCACAGCAGGAGCGCCGCACAGCGGAACAGAGTGTGCAACTGGCCCACTCGATGTTGCCTGAGTAGTCCCCGGCGGCCGTCTGCACCATGCGCTTGTCGCTGTAGACCAGGTAGACGGGGAAACAGCCCTGGCTACGCTCCTGGCAGCCGCCAGCCACCTTGTAGAAGGTGAGCAGCTGGCGCAGGAACTCCTGCAGGCTGGTGTGACTGCCGTAGAGGATGGGACTACACAGCATGGCCATGTGCTGTGGCGCGAAGCATGAGCGCAGGTCTGCATGGAACTCGTGCAGGTTGGCGGCATCCGAGATGATGAAGAGTGTGTTCTCGCTGTGCCGTACCTTCAGCACCAGACACAGCTCCGGCATGAGGAAGCCGAACTCTGTGAGATCGCCATGCGGGAAGCAGAAGACAAAGCGCAGGGACGAGAGGATGTGCTGGCTGCTGCCCCGAGATTCCTGGTGCGGGATCTCGAAGACAGCAATGCCGAAGTCAGTGAGCACAAGGCAAGCGGCGAACTGGCGGATGCTGCCCTGCACGTGGATCAGGAAGCACCACAGCACCTTGAGGATGCGGATGTGCTCCAGCAGAAAGTCCTCATCCGCGCCCAGGGCCCACTCCAGAGCCAGGCGCTCCTCCTCAGCCTCTTCATCCTCCTCTTCTTCCTCCTCTTCCTCCCCCTGGCCTCCTTCCTCCCCCTCCTCCATGTCCGGGGGCCCCATTTCAAAGTATCGATTCTCAGCAACATCCTCCTCTTCCTCCTCCTCCTCGTCCTCCTCCTCACCCTGCGCGCCCCGGCCCTCCTCCCGCTGGTTGGCAGCCTCGATCCAGGCAGGCAGCTGCCGCTCAATGGCCTGTCGAATCAGCGTACTCAGGCGCTGGATGAAGTCTTGGTTGGTGGCCGTGTAGCCAATGCAGGTGAAGGGCAGAAAGATGATCTGGCCAGATCCGGGCACCACCTGGACCTCTGGCTCGGCATGTTCTGGGCTGTGCAGGGAGAGGCCATGTCAGCGGCATGCTGGGAGGGGCCCCTCCCACCTCCCACATCTGGAGCCTGCTGCTGCACCCTGACCCTGAGAAACCAAACCATGGGTCTCCCAAGCCTCCCACACAGCTGAGTCAGCTCCCAGGATGAGGGCCCTGGTGGGAGCCAGTGCTGCCTGCTGGAAGGCTGGGTCGCCAGTTTGGTCAGAGTTTCTGCTTCCAGGAGCTTGGACCATAGGTGTCCAGCACAGCTATACCCAGACCATACAGGTTCCCACAACAGAAGCACTCCCATGGACTTGTAAGTCATTCAGCTGCTGCTATAAGCCCTGGAGGGAATGAATCTATTTGTGGCCCCTGGTGGCCTCCGGGGCAGGGAAACGGGCCAGGGCAGGTCTTAGGAACTTCATACTTAAATTCCAGCTCTTCTTGGCCAGCTGCCCTCGCATGTAGAATGGGAGTTGGTCAACTTCTGTAAAGGGTCAGAGTACACATTTCGGGATTTATGGGCTACCCTGTCCATACGATCTCTAATACCCCTTTAAGAATGTAACTGTCCAACATGGTGAAACCCTGTCTCTACTAAAAATTAGCCAGGTGTGGTGGTGGGTGCCTGTAATCCCAGCTACTTGGGAGGCTGAGGGGGGAGAATCGCTTGAACCCGGGAGGCGGAGGTTGCAGTGAGCTGAGACGTGCCGTTGCACTCCAGCCTGGGCAACAGTGCGAGATGCCATCTCAAAAAAAAAAAAGTAAACTGTCATTCTGACCGGGTGAGGTGGCTCATGCCTGTTAATTCCAGAACTTTGGGAGGCTGAGTGGGAGGATCACTGGAGATCAGGAGTTTTGAGACCAGCCTGAACAACATGGTGAAATTCTGTCTCTACTAGAAATACCAAAAAATTAGCTAGGCCTGGTGGTGTGTGCCTGTGGTCTGGGCTACTCAGGAGGCTGAGGCTGAGACAGGAGAATTGCATTAATCTGGGAGGCGGGGGTTGCAGTGAGCCAAGAACGCGCCACTGCACTCCAGCCTGGGTAAACAAACAACAAACAAAGAATATAACTATCATTCTTAGCTCCCAGGCTGTGAGCCACACACAGGCCTTGATGTGCCAATCCCTGGTGTAGGGTAATGTGCTGGGCAGAATTTAGGTATTAGAATTTGGAAACAGATCGAAGAGTCCATCTCATTTGTGTCTCTTTAGAGGAAGAAATAGTTCTGTAGAACTTCTGTGAGCAGATTTTTAAAAGAAACTGACTGGCGACCCCTGGCCCACAGCGGAGTGTGTGCAGAAGGCTATGCAGCCAGGCCCAGGTCCCTTTCCAACCTCTTCCTTACCTTGTACCACCAACAGCTCCTGGCACATCCCTTAAATCATCAGAAGCTGCCTGATGGAGAAAGAAACGCAGTCAGTGCCCACCTGGTGCAGCCAGCCCTAGCATTTTCTGGGTGCCAGACCCTGAGCTGGGCATTTTGCCCTCCATCACTGCCCTGAGGAGGCTCCTCCCCATCCCACGCTCTACCCTGGGCCTCACTCTGGGACCCAGGAGAGCAGAGACCCACTGGGTTATCCCACCAGCACTCAGCAGGGCTGGGTTTCCCACACTCCCAACCCAGGGCCAGAGCCTCTTGCCACTCTCCAGGGATTCGGCATCTGACTGCTCCTTATGCCACCCAAAGGTCCAGGTAAATAGTCTACAAATTCGGTCCGACCCTAACTGGCCAGTGGTCCCTCCCAATGGTCTCTGTGCACTGGGGAAGACCTATGGCTTGGGAATCTCTTGCTGTGTGACCCTGGGAAGGGTGATGGGAGAGTACTGTGGAGTGCTGAGGACAGACAAGGACTCTGTAAATTGCCCCAGTGTCACAAGGCCATAACCTTGTACTGCTGCAGAGATGGGGTGGAGGGAGACCCAGGCACCAAGCACATTCCCCAAGCACTCAGCAAGCACCCTTGCTTTCCTCCTCTCTTCTCAGGACACAGGAAGGGGCTCCGAAACTCTCAGTAACAACCAAAGAGGAGGGGCTGGAGTTACACTGATTCCCAGACCACCAGTGTGACATGCGGGAAGGGGCCAAGTGGCTCCAGGGGCCAGGAAACAGAGGAGAAACCCAAACAAGCCCTGCACAAGGGCCTTTTGAAATGTCTTCCCAGGGGAGCCTGCTCACAGGGTCAAGGGCCACCCTTTCCACCTGCCCCCTCGTGCCCTGGGCCCAGTGACAGAGAACGGCCTGTTCCCATCAACCAAGGGGGTGGGGAAGGGAAGGAGTGAGGCCAAAAATAAACCCTTAACCACTGGGTTTGTCAGGAAGACAGACTCAACTAGAGACAGGTCCGAGAGAAAGACCGTGGGGCAAAGCAGAGGACGACAAACCCTGGAAACATCTGCCTCAGCTCCAGTCAGGCTACTTCCTACTGCACACAACCCCAGGCAGAAGAGTCCACCCACGGCCATATGGTCCCCAGAAGCAGGAGGAGGGCATTACCTGTCCCGCAGGAATGGACTCCAAGGAATCAGAACATCCCTGGGCAATGGGCCGGTCCTCAGGAGTCAGACTGTCGGTGGATGAGACGCTGCTGGCCAGGGCCTCCTCCTGAACGAACATGATTCCTGGAGAGACCAGGGTGGGTGGGCAGGCAGGCAGGGTGGGCGGGGCAGGGAGAGTGGCCATTCAACAAGTGGGGCTGGGCCCCTCAGGCTACCGGCATGGCCGGGGGCTAGCCAGACCCCAAAACCCAGCCATATGAATTACAGAACATGTTAAAACTGAAATTTCAAAATAACTCAAGAAAAAAACAAATGACTGCTTATCCAATCTCAGAGCACGGAGAGGTATTCTGAGAATAAATGCAATGGAAAAAACTGATGTGTGACTACATAAAAATTAATCTTCCATAGACATTTTTTTTTAAAAAAAAAAGATAAATTAAAACCAGATGAAATGAGAAAAAAGTGTTTGCAGTATCTGACAAATATTTAGATCGCTAGTCTGTGAAAAGTTCTTACAGATTATAAAAACGGGGGAAGGTTGGAAACCCCATACACAGACTACAAGGACAGGAACAGACATTTGCAGAATGGCCAGAAGATAGAACATGAAAAGAATGCTCACTCTCAGTAGTACACAAAGAAAGGCAAGCTGAAACAAGAGACCAGTACTGCCTCTCAACTTTGGCAAAACTCAGACTGACTGTGTGGCCTGCCCTGACCTCACTGGGCAGAGGCCGGCACAGGCATGCGAGCTGGCCCACCCATCCAGAGAACAGTTTGGAGGTACATCCATCAAGAGCCCGCATGTGTTCACTCCTGGAGCACCTGATGACTGGACATCACTCTGTCCCCTGATCGATCTGCCATCTCTGCAGGACTCACAGATACACAGAGCATGGGACGATTCACCAGAGGGCCAGCCCTTGCAGGCCTTGGTATCCAGCAGGGCTGGTGAGTCCAGCCTGAGCCCGCGTCCACAGTCCCACTTACTGCAGGATGCGCCCACTGACCTGCCCTGCGGCCACCTCCCACTGACAGCAGCACTCTGACCCATGTGCCCTGTAAATGCAGTGTTCCTAAACCCTGCTAAGCTGTTTTATGAACAGAGCCTATCTGGACCTGTGACTCCACTCCAGATCACCTCTAGACTGCTTGAAGGGAAAGCCTTTGTGAACACTTTCCTGACTGCAGCCAGCAGGGTGAACACGGCATCGGCCACCAGTCTCATGAAGGCCTACAGGAGCCCCAGCTGCCTTCACAGCCCATTGTAGTCATGGCCCAGTGAAATGACCCCAAGCCCTCTGAGCCCCACAGGTCAAGACCCCTTCCAGCTCAGCTGCTCCCCAGGACAGGACAACTCACACAGCCTGGGTCCTCTGCCCACAAGTGAGGCAGGCAGGTGGGCCCAAGCTCAGATGCCCCCACAAAGTGAAGCAGCAGGGGCTAGGCAGGCAGGAAGAATGGCAAGCAGACAGCCATGCATGAAGCGCCATGATGGGCCACCCCGGGCACCTGCCCAGGCTGCTGCTCTCCTGCAATCCACCCTCTGCCTGCTTAATGTTCAACTTCTACCCATCCTTCGAGATTCACCTCAGACACCAAATCCAATGCAGACCTCTGCTCTAGAGTCTATAGAAGCCCCACACCATCCTGCCTTGTTCTCCTCTGGCACATGGCTCATTCTCCCTCATGGCTCCAAGCTCCCCAGGGGTACCGTCTGGGTCATCTTGAACCCCCCACTAAGGATGTGGGAAAGGGCAGCCTTCATGGACCACCCCCGTAGAGCTCTGAGCAGTGCCAAGCACCTCCCCAGCATTTGCTCATGCATGCCTCTCGTTATTTACCACATTTCATCAAATCTAAGATGCAGCAGGTGGCGCCATCTTGGTTCTAGCGGAAGGTGTCCACGGATTTTTCATGACTCCATCTCGAATACCAGCTGGCTGACAGCGACTATGAGATGCCACTGACTGAAAGACGCACCTCAATTTCAGAGAAGTCACAAGGTGGTAATGCGTGCCTCTTAGAATGAATGAAGTAGGATGCGCCACTTCACAGTTGAGAAGGTCCCACAGCTAGGAAGCTGGGACACAAACTCAGCTGACAGAGCCCTGGGTCCTGACCACCTCTCCACACAGCCTTATCTCAGCTCCCAGGCCTGGCTGGACAATCAACTCTGGCACCTCAGGAGACCACCCCTATCAGTCACAATCATCCATGGCTCCGACAGCACCCGCAACCACGGGAAGCTGGGTGTTGTCTGGACAGCGCCTCCTTCAGTCAGGCCTCTGATTACCCAGTTCATTAGCAACTAGGCTCCCTCTGGGGAACCAGGCTGGGAGCAACAGGCATGGGTCAGCAAAGCTGCTCCCCTACACTAAAAAACCCTGCCCATCCAGGCAAGACCCAGGAACACACGGCTGAACAAACACATAGGAGGCCTCCGCATCAGTGAGAAAAAGACCAACACTTTTTGCTACTACCACCCTCAAGCTGTCTGGACACGAGGAAATGTGAACAGGGACAGTCTATCTGCTCCCATCCTGGACCATGGCCTGTACCAAGTGGTCAGAAAGGGCACTCAGTGGATAGAACAGGAATATTAGGAGAGTCCTTAGATGGGGGTCCGACCTTTGCCATTTCTCACCAAAAGGAAAGAGAGGTGCACACAAAGACATCCACTGCAGTTTTATTTACGAGGTGCAAATCTGGAGGCAACATCCAGAAGTCCAGTGACGGCAGGGAGAGACAGACTGCAGAGTGCCCCTCTGCAGTGTCCCCAGGGCATGAGGGGAGTGAGGAGGGGGCTGAGCTGGTGCAGAGGCTTCACTAACAATGTGGGGGGCTGCCTGCAGCTGCAGCCTGGGGGGACAGTGCATCCCTGCCCACCCAGGGCCTGCTCCTCACCGGCTCCTGCTCTACCTGCCCACTCACTCACTCACTGATCAACAGATGCTGGCAGAAACAGCTATGTCCCTGGCCCTGAGAAGCAGATGCAGCTCCCTGTCCCCAGAAGCCTACAGTCATATGATGCCTCCACAGGCTTGCTTGGCCCCCCTGCAGGAGGTGGCGTCAGGGAAGCTTCCTCACCGTGATAGAACCTCCACGGCTTTTATATAAGAAAATGCAACCAGAAATCCTCAGTCAAAAGTCTGACAGAAGCAAAATGGGCAATCACCCTGGCACCTAACCCTATCGCTCCGTGCTCAGGAATTCTCTTCTACATCTCACGGGTGTGACCTCTGGGCTGCTCTGCGTCGGGCCTTTTGCCTTAATGAGTGCTTCTCCCCTCTTCCTGCCCAGTCTTCCTGTCCCTGCTGGGAGGGCACACACAGCTGACTCTCTCATCTGCCGACGTTGCAGTTGCAGCCCGTGTTTTGGCAGTGATGAGCATTTCACCTCCCCTTCCCGGTATTTTATCCCTCTAAGAGAAAATCCCCACCAGTGGGGTTACCAGGTCAAGGGGTGGGAATGTTTTTCTGGCTCTTAAAACATCGGGTTGAACTGTTTTCCCAAGACCTCACACCAAGTTCTGCGTCTCCAGGAGCCCGGGCAGGCGGCGTCCTTTCCTGCGTGTCCCGAGCCTCGGCTCCACTCGGGACGGCATACCCTCCCCTCTTCCGTGGGGGCCAGGCCAGCAGACACGCTCATGGGACCTGCTTCACTCACTCATCTCCGAGGATGCCTGGGTTCAGAGGTGAAAGCCCTTTGAAAACGCTAAGACAGTGGGCAGACGAATGGGCCTTGTCTTCCATGGGTCCACAGGGACACAGATGGCCCATCCTGGCCCCACAAACACAGTATTCTGGGGCTGGGTCACACCACAGAGATGAGGCAATGATAAAAGCAAGGTTTCCCCCGTGCAGGGATTCGGGCTCCAGACTCAGGAAAGTCACAAGCCCAGCTTCCTGTAATCAGGAGCCAACAGCCCCAAGCCTGTTCAGAGGGCAGCCTCAGGGCCCATCAGACACCCTGCGGTCTCCTAGAGGAGCTGGATGTGGGCGTCAGAGCAATCGGGAGTCCTCACCAAGCAAGCAACAGCTGGCATCAGGCCGGGCACCCCTGCCATGTGTTCCCCCACGAGGACCAGCCTGCAGAAGGCACCGCCCTCCCTCGTTCTGACCCTGTTGGAAGCAGGTGGTGGCAACTCTCCCCCAACCCCAGCCCAGCCAGGGGGCCCAGGCAGGGCTGTGTGGCTCCACTAAGAGCAAGATACACACACTATTACCTTGGTTGGAGAGGATGGGCTGGGGCAGGGAGGCAGATGTGGGAACCACGGTGGGAGGGGAGCTGCTGGGTCTGACGCAGGGGACAGCTGAGAGCCGAGAGTCCTCGCCACCCTAAGGACAAGTGCTTGAGTCAGCCCTGGAGAGAAGAGGAAGCACAGAGCTCCTCAAGGCCAAGGCAGTGAGGAGGGAGCACAACAGTTCTCACAAACTGGGTGCTGCAGAAGGTCTCACCCGACCCTTACAGCGGGAACTATTACTGTCCCCAACCCACAGAGGAGAACACAGAGGCTGTGACTTGCCCAAGGTCATGCAGCCAGGGAGATGCAGCTGGGACTCAGCAGCTCTGAGCAATCCCAAAGCCCAGGACCCCTGAACTGGCTCCTCTCCTGGCTGGCTCTGCACCACCTCCCTCCCACCTGCCATACCCACCCACCTTCTTCTCTGGGTTGCTCAGCTTGGACTTGACCTCCTTGGCTTTCTGAATTGCTTTCAGCACTTCCACAGTGTCCAGCTCCTTCTCTGTGGTCACTGTGTCATCTAGACAGACCTAGAGCATCCAAAAAGTGGCTATCAGCATTGGGACTGGCAAATATGGCAGGAGGATGGTGGGGTCCTGCTGAGGATGGGGCGTGGGCACCTACTGTGGGAGAGGCCCTGTGAGGACACCACAGGCTGAGGGAGGCTCAGTTTGCTTGGAGGTGGCTCTTCACCACTCACAGAAGTGACCTGGGAGTGCCTTGGAGGACCCCAGGAAGGTCCCACATCTGTCTCTGGAATGCCTCACCAAAAACAGGAGGCAGCAAGCTCTTGGGCAGCTGGGACTAGGGAAAGGTGACTAAGGAAGCTCTTGGGCAGCTGGGACTAGGGAAACTTGAACTAAGCCTCCAGTTAGAGGCAGGAGCCAGACTAAAGAGTAATGGGTAGGGGAACCAGCAGTGGGAGAGGTCAGGGCTCCCACCTGCAAATGCAGGAGGGAGTGGTGGCTGGCAGGTAGTGGGGGTTGGGTAGGGTGGTTGAATGAGGGAAGGTCCCAAGGGCATAGACAGGGACAGATACTCTGTGAACTGGGAGCTTCCCAAGGTCTGGAGCCCAGGAGGGGAGGAGATGACATCTCATGGTCTTGTGATTATGTGGAGGAAGAGGCACTTGGGGCCAAAAAGAGGGAAGTGGACACAAATAGACTCCTAAGTATTTTCTGGCCTGGGATTTCGGGAGAACAGAAGGTCTAACGATCAATGAGAGATTCAGGGGGCCTGCTCGAGGCCCAGGCAATGGGTGAACTTGGTTAAGGAGTGTCTGGTTGGCACAAACACAGCCAGGGACAGCAGATACCAGGCTGGGCTATATTGGCAAAGGTAAATCCTTTGGGTTTACAATCAGGCACTATGGCCACAAATTGTCCAGGAGATAGGAATATTTTAAAGATCTTATTTCTGACCCTTTCCTAGAATAAACAATGTTATCCCAGACAGGAGGGGCAGGAGACGCAAGGGAGCCTTTTCCTGGGGAGATAGTAGACTTCCCAGAACCGAAAAGCCCTCAAGAAACAGGACGTCCTTCTGAAGCAGGCGAGGGTAGAACAATGGACATATATCCCTACTGCCCATGCAGACTTGACTATATCCCAGGGGTCTCCCTGGGCTCCTTAGGCTGCACTGGGGCTCACCTCTGAGGCCCTCTCTCCGAACTGAGCCAGCACCTTGGTCCGGTAGTCAGGGATGATGCTCAGAGGGTTGTTCAGCAGAAACACGTGCTCCAGACACGGGAGGCTACCTATGCTCCGGACCTCCTCCATCTGCAAGGTATGAGTTTCATCCCCTTTGGTCCCTTCTCTTAACACTTCGGCAACATGCCAACACGTTTCATGGCCTCTTTTAAATGAAAGGAATCTTAACATTCTTCTTTAACATGATAGACACCAGGCACAGAAATCCCAGAACCGTGAGGTCCTTGGGCTCACCTGTTCGACCCTGTTGTCCCGGAGATCCAGGGTGACCAGTGAGTAGAGCTTGTGCAGACCACTCAGACTCTCCAGGAGGTTGCCTGCCAAGTTCAATGTTTTGATGTTCCCCAGCTTGGTGTGAAGCCCTTCCATGGAGGAGAGCTTGTTGTAGGACAGGTCCAGATGCACAAGATTATACAGGTGCTGCAGCGGCGTGGAGAACAGTATAAAGTGGCTCAAGTCAAGTCTCCAAAGATAGGGGCCTAACATTAATGGCAAGATGGGCCTTCCAACCCAAACTACCCACTTCTGCAAGTCACTCTGACAGCTATTTTAGGAAGGGAAGTCCCTCTTCTCTGCTGCACATGCCATGGCACAGTCGCACCCCTACAGACAGTTGGGGTGGCAGTTGCAAACATGGCTGTCCACCTTCAGGACAGAGATGTGTCATCACGCCTGGTTTTTATTTACTCATGTTTCCTAATTCTTTGGAACTAGAGCAACAGTCACTCAGTGCATTGCTGGGATCCTAAAGGAAAGGCAGCAGCCCCTGCCCTTCAACCCCTGGGTATGGCCAAATTCCCATGGCTGCGTCAGCCTCCTGAACTCTCAGAATGGGACCCTGGGAGTGTGGGCAGGCAGCACTGGTCTCCAAAGGGACTACCTGCAGATTGTCCACAACCAGCAATCCATTGTGACTCAGGTCCAGGAACTCAATCTTTGGGATCAGTTTCTTGTTGCGGCGGTGGGGGGGGTGGGGGGGAAAGAACATCCAATGTTACTGTAGGAGGCTGGACCCCAAACATAGCCCCCCACATGGTAGAGGGGCACCCCAGGACACTTCCTCCCCACCATGGACTCCATGTGCCGTCCCTGCAGGACCACTGGTGGGACACCTCCCGCTGCCCAGCCAGTAGCACATCCAAAGGCACACACAGGGCCCCCCATGCTGGGCATTACCCATTGTTTTCATGGAACACTTGCCTTGTGAAAATGACACACGGCGAGGTCCCAGACAGAGAAAGGAATCTGTCCTGCAACTCCTGCCCATACTCCCTGAGCAGCGCACACACAGGAATGACACTCTTACTGCCTAAATGTCCGCTGGATGTCATTCTTACACGGGCACATCTGTCATCTATGGAGTGATTGTTCTACTCCACTCTTTGGAGTAAATGTCATCACTTAGTGCGGCTATAGTTTATTAAATTTACATGAAATTAATGTTTTTATTTGGTTCTAAGCACTATCTCACCGATTTTAAATGATTCCATTTGTTTTTTCTTTTGAGACGGAGTCGCCCAGGTTAGAATGCAGTGGCGTGATCTCAGCTTACTGCAACCTCTGCCTCCCAAGGGATTCTCCTGCCTCAACCTCCTGAGTAGCTGGGATGACAGTGTGTGCCACAATACCCAGCTAGTTCTGTACTTTTAGTAGAGATGGAGTTTCACCACGTTGGTCAGGCTAGTCTCGAACTCCTAACCTCGGGTGATCCTCCCACCTTGGCCTCCCAAAGTGCTGGAATTACAGGTGTGAGCCACCACACCCGGCCCCCATTTTGAAATTAACTTAAAATTGCAGGTACTGCGCAGAGCACCAGATATAGGTTTTCTGTGATCCTTCCTGAAAAAGCTAAGTTAAGTACTCAAACTCAGGGTTCGGTGGGGCCAGGGAAACCCCTGGCACCTGCTGCTGAGAGCATACCACAGACTCGTCAATCTCGGAGATGCTGTTGTGGCTCAGGTCAAGCGTGGTCAATGCCTGCCAAGTGGGGATGACGGCTGTCACAGGGCCTTCTAGGGCCGTGCCTTCAGGCTCCCACTCATCAAATTCTGAGGCTTCAGGAACAAGGACTTCCTGCAGAAAAACATCTGTTGAGCACCACATTCGGGCCCTCACGCAACACTCACTGGGAACACAGTAGTTGCAGAATTTAAGGAAGGGTTGGAGCATATTTAGCACATGGAAGTAAACTTGCATTAAAGCAGACCTTTGGTTTGTATGTCTTTAAATGATTGTAAAATCATTCAAAGCTGAATTTTGAGACACATGTTCACTCTGTTACCCAGTCTGGAGTAGAGTGGAGCCATCATGGCTCACTGCAGCCTCGAACTCCCAGGCTCAAACAAATCCTCCTGCCTCAGTCTCTTGAGTAGCTGGGACTACAGATGCACAACACCTTGCCCAGCAAATTAATTTTTTTTTTTTTTCTGTAGAAATGAGGGCTCCCTACATAGCCCAGACTAGTCTCAAACCTCTGGGCCCAAGTGATTCTCCCACCTTGACCTCCCAAAGTGCTGGGATTATAGGTCAAGCCACTGCTACTAGCCAGCCATCTTTTCTAGCTTCTCAGAGGCTGAAGGTCAGAATTCAGTTTCCAGGCAACTGTGCTTTCCAAGCTGATGATGTGGTCTGCACTGTGGACACCAGGCCTTTAAAACCATTATTTCATAGGGATGAAGTCAGACAGTGCTAAGAGAAGGGGACCAGAGACCATCAAAATGGAGGAAGGCAGGTCTATTCGTTTGATGAGACCTCTCTTCTCACAATGGGTTGCCCTGGGTTCCTTCAGCAAGATGGTGAGACATGCTTGGAGAGGGACCAGATGGTCCAACACTCTCTCTGCAAGCCTCAACAGGAAAATTTTTCACCAAACCCAAGTCTTTTTTTTTTTTTTTTTTTTTTAAGAGACAAGGTCTCCGTATGTTGCGCAGGTTGGTCTTGAACTCCTGGGCTCAAGGAATCCTCCTGCCTTGGCCTCACAGAATGCTAGAGCCATTATACCTGGCCCAAACCTAAGTCTTGATCAGTCACCTTAAGTCACAATATTAGCTGCTACATGCCTTTTCTATACCCAGAGAAGGATTTTAACATTAGCAAGATATAATCCATAAAAAGGTAAACAGAAACCTACATTCCCAATTTGAATGTCTCTGCTGCTCACATGTAAACAGAGCTTAGCACTTCTACCACCTCACTCTCTAATCAAAAAAAGATAGAAATGAGTAGGAAGCCAGGGATTGCTAAAGCTTAAAGGATCTATCTAAGCTTAGTTATCAATCTAATTAATAGGTCCTGCCACTTGCCACAGTTTAGCAATTTGTTCATTAAAAAACCAATGATGGTTGGGCACAGTGGCTCATGCCTGTAATCCTAGCACTTTGGGAGGTTGAGGCAGGCAGATCACCTGAAGTCAGGAGTTTGAGACCAGCCTGGCCAACATGGTGAAACCGTCTCTCCTGAAAATACAAAAATCAGCCAGGTGTGGTGGTGTGCACCTATAGTTCCAGCTACTCAGGAGGCTGAGGCAGGAGAATTGCTTGAACCTGGGAGGTGAGGTTGCAGTGAGCTGAGATCACACCACTGCACTCCAGTCTGGGCCAAAGAGGGAGACTCTATCTCAAAACAGAAACAAACAGACAAATGACATTTAGTCTGACCAATGACATTTTTTATTTGTTGGCGAAAGAAGCCAAGTTTCTTAAAATGTCTCGTTAACAACACAGACTTTAATGCAGATGTGAACTGAAGTGTTCCAAGGGGAGTCAAGAGCTGGGAGGCCCCCTGTGAGTATATGGCTACCCCACAGAAAGTCCAGCCTCTGAATACTGACAAACATAGCTGTGTCCACACCCATTCTCAGTGGATGAAGACCACAGCCCAGGACCCTGACCTGCAGACACTGCCCCAGGCAGAATACAGGTGAAGCTTACCTTCATGGAGGTTGCTGAGAAGCGGACACTCAGAGTGCCTAAGGTGGGCTTCGAGGAAACCAGCCCTCTAACGTGCTTAGCATCACAGTGACTTATCTGGAACAAAGAATGGCCACATCTCAGAAACAGCATCCTTGCTCCATCAGAAGTCCCTAGACACAGGTGTTCCCTACCCCCATACAAAAGAAGCACAAGGATGGGCAACCCAAATCCTCAGAGACGGGAGGCCACTCAAGACCGAAGTCTCTCTTCTTCCCAATATCAGTGCTGACCAAACATTCTCTCAGGTATCTACTAAGAAAGGTGCCTGGCCTCTCAGACTCAAAATGGACCACAAATTCCATTTCCTCTGTAAGAGCTGCCTGGGGCTTGGCAGGTGAACATAAAGTGTGGGTCATGGAAACTGCTCGGGAGAACAAGGGGCCTCCACAGCACAGTGAGTGGGGTGGATCCCCGTTTGCCCCGCCCCAACTCAACGGAACTCAGCTATCCTATGGTAAGGAGGGGCGAGGCACAGGCCCAAGCACACCCACAGACCCAAATCCAGAGCCTCAGCCTGCTTGCAGGGCTGGGTTGGGGTTCTCCCTCACCTCCCAGCCCTCACTCAGCAGTAGTGGCCAAAGCACTCCTTAAGGGAGTGGTCCTCCAGATCTCGGCGGAGCCTAGACCACTGCAGGTAGAAGAACCCAGTGCACAGCAGAGCTCTGGAGACAGACTCGGCTGAATTCAAACCCCAGCTTTCTGCTCATTGACTGTGTGGCCCTGGCCAAATTTCCTTACTGGACCAAGCCTCAGGTTCCCCAGCTGTAAAATGGGAATAAAAATATCCTCTTCACAGGGCTTTTGGAAAGATTCAATCAAGGAAACATGGGGACACAGAGGAGAACACAAAAGCCACGCTCAAAAACTTGTTTTAAGACATGTTTTCATTTTCATTACTGACTCACTTTTTTTTTTAAAAAAAAGGTAAAATTGGCGTTGCACACCAAGGAGTCCAGTAGTGACGAATGCAAAGCATTTCCTGTGTGGGCGCCCCAGGGGGCAGGGCAACCTCAAAGCTCTTTGCCAATTGGCCTTGAGAAATACAGACTTATATTTGGCTCTGCCTGACCCTCAGGATGACTTCCCAGGACTTTAACTTGAAGTAAACATGCCCCCTGCCCCTATAAGGAGGCCCAGAAGGAGCCAGGTGCTGGTGGTCCACCTTGGCTAACTGCCCCTATGCTCACGCTAGGGTAGAGACGTGCAGACCAGCCAGGGACAGGAGAAGCCTCTCTTCCTCTGCCTTCAGGGGACCTGGTTACCTAGGAAGAACCTGTCACACACTGCCAGACATGAAAGCACAGCACCTTATGATTCAATCAGGACAGCCAACATCACAAACACTCCCTAGCCACAGAATTGGGAGCAAGAGGATGCTGTGCAGGGCTCAGCCCTCCTTGTACTCCAGCAGCCCCGGGCCTTACCTCCACCTGATGCAGGGACTTGAATATTGATAGGTCAAATGGCAGGAGCTGCTCCTGAATGTTGCTGGTCCCAAAAGGTCCTTCTGTGCCAGAAACCTGAGGCCAAAGATAAGATAAAGCTTGAATTGGGAACAGCGCTGCACACCCATGGGGTAGTGCTGCAGCAGCTGCCATGTCAAAGACAACTTTGACCACTCTGCCTTCAACAAAGCAGGCTCAGGCCAAGTTTTAATGTAAGGGGACACTGGGTCACGACTGCCCCCTGGTGCCCACAGCCACAAGCACAGTGTCAAGAATAACCAGGCAGCCTTCTTTCCACCAAGAGTTTCCCATGGTCTCCTTCACACAAACTGCCAGCCAGTCCCCCACAGGCTGCAACCCCACCAGCTGAGGGGCTTTCCATGACTGAGCTGCCGCAGCTTTACCTTAAGGTACTTAAGGCGACAGGTGAAGTCCAGAATGTGCCCAAGGTCAGTCTTGGCATCCCCACTGGCACACGTTGGCTTTCCCTGCTGCAGCTGCTCCGTGACGGCATACAGCTGCAGGGGTCCAATGGCAAAGACCTCGCCGGCCCCCAGGAGCTGTTCTCCTGCAAGAGCCATGCCGTGAGGGATAAGTTTCCAGTCCCAGCCCCAGCACTTCTGCAGACGGGACTGCCACATCTTTTCTGTCAACAAGCAGTTGGCAAGCACACACTGTGTCAGGGCAAAGCCATGACCCCAAGCGTTCAGGAGCTGCTGCCCTTCTGGGTGCACGCTAGGCATGGGGCAACCCTAGACAGGTGATGACAGAGGAGGGCAGGGCTGTGGGGCTGTCGAGAGCCAGAGTGAGGCTGCCGAGAGAGCATTCTGGGTGACAGACCTATGCTACAACCTCCAAAATGCAAATATCCAGGTCAGGTACAGGCCTAGGCTGCCAGCACAACGCAGAGCCTGGGAGCAGGATGGGTTCTAAGCCTGACTGGTGCTTGGTCCTCGCTCCATTCCCTCCAGCCAAGTGCCCTCAGGGTGGTAACTGGGCCTCTGACCCTGTGTCCTCACCTATACCTGTGGCTTCTGGGGGAAGGCAGTAAGATGCTAACAGGAAGCATTCATCACACATTAGCTACTGTAACCGTGCTCTCTGGCAGGGATGGGGCCTAGGCTCAGCTTCTATCTGCCATCTGAGCCCTTTCAGGCAAGCACAAACCAGGTGTGAGGGAGCCGTGTGCTACCCACCTTCCAGCAACCACCACAGGGCTCTGGAATACAGCCCAAGTCGAGGCTGAGCCCCTGACACAGGTACTCAAGAGTACTCACCACAGCTCCTCTGACCTGGCCGCCTACAGGGCAGGCAGGTGGGCAGATTTGGCTATGAACAGGTCAATGGATCTGAAGGTGGGTCCCTATAAAGCTCCAGAATGACTTCTGTGTTACCCTGTGCATCTGGCCACCTCATAAAACTATACAACTTATGCCCAGTATTTCAAGGACCTGTGGCCACATACCTTTCTCAAAGAGCTCTTCGGCCAATGCTGCGGTGATGCCATTTATCTCCTGCAGAGAACACAAAACCTGCCCTTAGAAAGTCCATCTGCTCCCAGTCCCTGGGATTTGCACATTCCCTGCTATCTACCCTCTTTGTTGTAGCAGTGCCAGCTCTCTGGAAAGTTTAAAGAAAGAAGAGCACATGGTCAGGTGCAGTGGCTCACACCTGTAATCCCAGCACTTTGGGAGGCTGAGGAAGGTGGATCACGAGGTCAGGAGATTGAGACCAGCCTGGCCAACATGGTGAAACCCCATCTCTACTAAAATCACAAAAATTAGCCGGGCATGGTGGTGTGCACCTGTAATCCCAACTACTTGGGAGGCTGAGGCAGGAGAATTGCTTGAACCCGGGAGGTGGAGGTTGCAGTGAGCCAAGATTGTGCCCCTGCACTCCAGCCTGGGTGACAGAGTGAGACTGCCTCAAAAAAAAAAAAAAAAGGTGGGGGGGGGACTAAATATTCTAGTTATATGGATACCTGCAACATCTCCTCCAAAGTAGAAGGGAAACCAGCCTAATGCTATGACTCCAGTCCATAGGGCCAAGGGCACTGTGGCCCAGCAGAGCTGCATTATGTTAAGGGCTTTTGGGAAGCCAGCAGCTCCCAAAACTGGCTCTGGGTATTCCTAGGAGAGGGTGTGACAGAGAGGAAGTCCAGTTTTTTTCTGGAAAAGAGGCTCCTATCACTCTGGTGGGATGAAGCACTGCCTAGAGCTAACTCTTCCTGGGAATGACCGTTTCTACTTTCTCTCACGTTTCAAATATATGTCAGGAATAGTGAACATTTGTTTTCTTCTTGTGCTCATCCCTTCCAGATTCACAATAGTAACACTCAGCCCCAGGGTCACAAGTGTGGGAAGAATTTCCTTTTTAAATTGATGTGATGAAGGAGGCAGGACAAGGCCAAGCCTCCAGTCATACAAACAACACACTGAGATCCTAATTCACACTGGGTCATAGCCTAAGCCACTGAAGGCTCTTGAATCCTCCCAACGTCCTACAAGAGAAAAAAAAAAACTTTTTTTTTTTTTTTTTAAATAGAGACAGGGTCTTGCACTGTCACTCAGGCAATGGTATGACCATAGCTCACTGCAGCCTGGAACTCCTGGGCTCAAGTGATCCTCCTACCTCAACCTCCCAAGTAGCTGGGATTACAGGTGTGTACCACCATGCCTGGCTAATTCTTGTATTTTTAGCAGAGATGGGGTTTCACTATGTTAGCCAGGCTGACCTCAAACTCCTGACCTCAAGTAATCCCCCTGCCTCAGCCTCTCAGGGTGCTGGGATTACAGGTGTGAGCCACCGTGCCCAGCCAACCCACTTTTTTTTTTTTTTTGAGACGGAGTTTTGCTCGTTGCCCAGGTTGGAGTGCAATAGCACAATCCTGGTGCAATTGTAACCTTTACCTCCTGGGTTCAAGCAATTCTCCTGCCTCAGCCTCCCGAGTAGCTGGGATTACAGGCATGCACCACCACGGCCAGCTAATTTTGTATTTTTAGTAGAGACAAGGTTTCTCCAAGTTGGTCAGGCTGGTCTTGAACTCCCGACCTCAGGTGATCCACTAACCTCAGCCTCCCAAAGTGCTGGGATTATAGGCATGAGTCACTGTGCCCAGCCCAACCCACTAATTTTTAAGAAAATATTTTGTAGAGACAGGGTCTCACCATGTTGCCCAAGATAGTCTCGAACTCTAGGCCTCAGTGATCCTCCCACCCTGACCTCACAAATTTTTGGGATTACAGGTATGAACTACTGCGCCAAGCTCTGGAAGTTTCTATCTTGAACCTTGTTTCACAAATGAACAAACTGAGGTGGACAAGTGCTGAGAACCTCAATTTTTACATGGATAAAACCCAGCAAAGCCACACTCAAGCCCTTGGCCTGGGCCTCTCTATATACAACCAGTTGCCTTAGCACTTCAGTGGTGTAATTGTAGGGTTGGCAGGGCCCCTCAAGGCCCTCAGCCCCCACCTCCACATCCCATAGGTAAGAATTTTAACTCATCGACAGATGGCAGCCAACAGGCCTTTTTGTAAACAGCTCCAGATGGAGGCTGCATAATCCTCATAACTCACAGGAACATTGGGAACATCGCTTCCGCCAGGACAAGCGATTCACAGAACATGCAATTCATGTGTTTATGGGATTCTAAAGACACAGGAGACAGGGTGTCCTTTTCCTGTTTTTCTCTCTGGTTGTCTCTCTTTCATTTTTTATACATTGTGGCCATTTTAACGGTTGTTTATATGTTGTAAATATTTCCTCCCAGTCTGTGTATACCTTTTACCTTTGTTCATGGTGCTTTTTCTGATAGAGATTTTTTATTTTTATATTGTTTAACCTCTAATTTTTTTTTTTTTTTTTTTGAGACGGAGTTTTGCTCTGTTGCCCAGGCTGGAATGTAGCCGTGCAATCTCAGCTCATTGCAACCTCCGCCTCCCAGGTTCAAGCCATTCTCCTGCCTCAGCCTTCCGAGTAGCTGGGACTATAGGCGCACATGACCACATCCTAATTTTTTGTATTATTAGTAGAGACGGGGCTTCACCATGTTAGCCAGTAGGGTCTCGATTTCCTGACCTCATGATCTGCCCACCATTGCCTCCCAAAGTGCTGGGATTACAGGTATGAGCCACTGTGCCCAGCCCTAATTTTTTTTCCTTTATGACTTCTTGGGCCTCTTCTCTCATTCCAAGATTATAAAACTATTACCCTTATTTTATTTTGGTCCTTTATAGTATCTTTAAAAAATGTGTTTATTCATTTAATCTGCTTGAAATTCAGTTTATACACAGAGTGAGAATAACTCCTCCCTGTACCCCCTGGACAAAAAGGGAGCAAAATGAGCACACAGAGCCTCAGCTTTAAGGGACCTGCAGGTGCAGGGCCAAATGGAAAAGGGCCGAGAGGGGCAGAGCAGGCTCAGAGCAGGACAGGGCTCCAGCTGGAAGTGAGGACAGAGGTGGCAGGTGTGCTCTGAAGTTCAACTTCATTCTTCTGCAATTACTTAAACTCAATGACATTTTCCTTGGCAGCTGTGAAGAAGCGAAGATTAGGACGAGCCTGGAATGATCCAAAGGCTTGTTTCTCCATGAACGGTTTGGAGAACCACGCCCTGTCTACAGGTCTGTACTTCACAGTCCAAACTGCTGTCAGATCGCCTGGAGCTGAGCAGGTCCCAGGGGCTGCCAATCTCTGCCCACCTCAATTCCCCAAGAATTGCTCCAGGGCCTCTCAGGACACAAGGCTCTTACAGTTATCTAAGGGGAAAGGGTTCCTCATGATCAGTACTAAACAACCTCATTTTCAACAGCACATTTCTTTTTTTTTTTTTTGGAGACAGTCTTGCTTCATGCCCAGGGTGGAGTGCAGTGGAGCAATCTTGGCTCACTGCAACATTCACCTCTTGGGTTCAAGCGATTCTCCTGCCTTAGCCTCCCGAGTAGCTGAGATTACAGGCCCCCGCGCCACTATGCCTGGCTAATTGTCGTATTTTTAGCAGAAACAGGTTTTACCATGTTGGCCAGGCTGGTCTCAAACTCCTGACCTCAAGCAATCCGCCTGCCTTTGCCTCCCAAAGTGCTAGGATTACAGGTGTGAGCCACTGCAGCTGGCCAATGGCACATTTCTTCAGGTAGCTGGTGTCAGTTCAGAAAGAGCACAGAGAAAAAACTCACCCTGGGCTAGGCATGTAGTCCAACTACTGGGGAGGCTGAGGCAAAAGGATCGCTTGAGCCCGTAAGTTCAGAGTCAAGCCTGGGTAACATAGCAAGACCCTGTCTTTCAAAAAAGGAAAAAGAAATCGCCCTGGATGCCAGCCCCTCTAAGGGGATAGGGCTGGAATTGTGGAACACACAGAAAATTGAGAGTATAAAGGCCACCAGCTCCCAGGAAGCAAAAAGAAAGCTTTCTCTTCTAAGGAATCTCAAAGCAATTTGTGTAACAATTTTGCTCTTTAGGGCACAGGAAGTACATACTCTGCAACACTTTCTTTTTTTTTTTTTTTGAGACGGAGTTTCACTCATTACCCAGGCTGGAGTGCAATGGCGCGATCTCAGCTCACCGTAACCTCCGCCTCCTGGGTTCAGGCAATTCTCCTGCCTCCGCCTCCCGAGTAGCTGGGATTACAGGCACGCGCCACCACGCCCAGCTAATTTTTTTTGCATTTTTAGTAGAGACGGGGTTTCACCATGTTGACCAGGATGGTATCGATCTCTTGACCTAGTGATCCACCCGCCTCGGTCTCCCAAAGTGCTGGGATTACAGGCTTGAGCCACTGCGCCCGGCCTCTGCAACACTTTCTACTTGGTTTTCCAGGCTGCCCTTCATCTCCGGACGGAGACTGAACCAGAGAGGAACAGAGAAATGCCTCACCCCCCAAACTTAGCACACGGGCCTCCTCAGAGGGCTCCCTGGTCAAATGGTGGGCTTATGAGTAAAGGTGGTAGGAGTCAGTCCTCCCCATGTCAGGAGAAGGCAGGTGGAGTGTCAGTGGCCACAGCCCACATGCCCTACCCCCTCTGTGCTGAAGGGACTTGAATTGCTTTGGGGTGCCATAAATGTCTGAATTGAAATGTATTTCTTTAAAGGGCATTCTTGGCTGGGCACGATGGCTCATGCTTGTAATCCCAGCCCTTTGGGAGGCTGAGGCAGGCGGATCACTTGAATTTAGGAGCTTAAGACCAGCCTAGCCAACCTGGTGAAACCTCAACTCTACTAAAAATACAAAAAATAGTGGGGCATGGTGGCACACACCTATACTCTCAGCTACTCTAGAGGCTGAGGCAGGAGAATCGCTTGAACTCTGGAGGTGGAGACTGCAGTGAGCCAAGATTGTGCTATTGGGCTCCAGCCTAGGTGACAGGGTGAGATTTTGTTTCAAAAAAATAAAGAAGGAAGGAAGGAGAAAAAGGAAGAAGGAAAGAAAGAAAGAAAGGGAGGAAGGATGGATGGATGGACGGACATTCTATTCTTTATACCTCAATGTAAGTTTTTCAATTAAAAAAAAAAAAAA